AATTTGCTGCAGTTTTGTCTTGACAATTTATGTTTCTTTCTCTTTTTCTTTTCAAATTGCACAAGAAAAAGAAAAGCCGCACCCAACTCTTTTCCTTGTGAAGAACAAATTTGAGGTTAACAGTTACACAATGTGTTTTAGCTGGTTTGTGCAGACATTGATGTGCAAGTCGTACACTGGCATTGGAGACCATTTTGTTCATAATGTAATGTGTAGACAAAGAGTTCTTTGAGATGCCTTCTGAAGACAAAAGCAAAGCTTCTATTATGAAAATGCTAAGCAAACTTGCAGCAAACTATACACAATTGATTATGTTTGTTATTAGGCCCCAAGAATTAGTAAGGACATCTAAGATATTATGTATTCTTCTTGTGGAGCTGTATGTTTCTAATATTTGTGTAATGTACTTGATATTATTTTTGAGGTCATTATTATAATGATATGAAATTTTCATACATGGTTATTATTTTTTATGTACTAACTGAATATTGTAATAGTTTAACAATTAGAACATTATATAATATGAGAAAGAGAGTACATAGACATCCATAAGGTACTTGTTTATTGCCATTTTATTGCTTTTGCATTGGTTGTCTATTGCTTGTTTATTGCTTTTATATTGCTTTTGTATTGCATGTCTATTGCCACTTTATAATCTACATGACATTATAATAGAGTGGAAGCAACTATGGATATTGTCAAAATTAACCATTCTTACATTGTTATCTTTTAGGTTTCAAAACTGTCGTATACGTGACTGCCGTCTCTTGCTCAAGATCCCAAAGTTTTCAAGTAAATTGAATTAAAATTTCATTTAATGGTATCAAAATAATTACATGGTTTCCTCTACAATAATATTCAATACAAGTTTTTTATTTCACGTAATCTTAAAAAATGACCAAGTATCTCAAGAATTAACAAATTGAAAACAAAAATCTCCTATTTAATAGTTGAATTTACATGAAGCATTATCCCTTTTACTCTTGCAACTGCTCAAGCCAAGTCCCCCCTCAAAAGTCATGATCCAAAATCCACTAGCTGACTAGTCTCTCCAATCTACCAAAATATTTCATTCATTTATAGAATATAAGATACTTGATAAAACAAACCAAAAAACATGAAGCTCTCGAAGGTAAATATTTCATTCATTGATAGAATCCAAGATATTTAATGAGTATACTTCCATACAAAGTCATCAATTATTTTCATCAAATGTAGAATGACATGTCAACCATTGTGCTTTTACCCCACAAATTTGCTAATTTGAAGCACAATGACATCTTCTAAATATACACTCTAGCTATGTTAAACTATATGTCTGTTATGTATAAGCTTTTCATAATTTCTTGTCATTTAAAAACTTTTGTTGATATTGAACTCAAGACACTAATGAAAACATTTTGAGGTAGTTTGAATATGTACAACAGAGCAAACTATCACAATTGAATAATACCTCTTACCCAAGATGTGTGACATAGATACACTGCTGGCATACAAGACTTTTCAAATTTTAGACAGCCAAAGTTTAAGTTCAAAAGTAGTAAACTGACATATATAAATATGGATCTTGTTGATCAGAAAACACTCACCATGAGTACCTAGTCTTTTAGATTACAAAAGCAGAGTTTTTTTCTCCAAACAAAAATACCTTAAAACAAAGGAAAGAAGAAAATGAAGTAACAATTTCACAACAATCTTTTAAAGAAACAATGAGATTGACAATGATTATGGTTCCAAAACAATACCAGACATTAAATTAACACATAAATGTTGAGAAAAATACAAAGAGCAGAGAGAGAGAGAGAGATCGTAAATAATACTTCAGCCAAGAATAATTTCAACTCATACTCAAATCACAAGCAGATAAAGAAAAATTATATCAACATATATTCCTATTAAATTATAGTAACATATCAATAAAACACCAGAAAAAATCAATATAACAGCAATACCATAGCAATACAAAAGCAATACCACTATAATACAACCGCAATAAAATCACAATACGATTGCAATAGCAAATCAACGATGCTACCTCACTGTGATATAATTATAAGTTCATAGAAAATCCCAATACCAAATGCAAGAATCAATCGACAAAAAACAAACACATTTGTTGTTTCAGACAAACAAAATCAATTCAAATACTTCACTTTCTACACAAAATGCTGACGAAATCAATCAGAATTCCAATTTTAGTACTCAATTCAATTTAACATCAAAACTTACATATTCCCAACAATTTATTTTCTGGAGAAGCTGTTCTTGAAGAGGGCATATAAACCCATACTTCAAAACCCCCCAAAATTGGACCAAAATGCTCAAACAATGGCCACCTAATGGCAAGACATGCTGTCATATTCAGAAAATATGGTTTTGTTTGGGTTTGTTTAGTTTGCAGAAGGGATTCAAAGAGAGACGAAGTTGGGGTTTGGATTTGGGTAGAGAAGAAAACAGAGAGGAAGAGGAAGAACTGGGTTATGAGGGCAAAGCTGTTGGTTTTATAGGTTGTTCATGATCTTCTTTTTCGTGAGAAGAGGTGTAGTTAGCTAGATGGGGGGAGAGAGAGAGAGAGAGAGAGAGAGAGAGAGAACTAAATTTCCGAGCAAAATGATATATGTGCAATAAGTGGACAATAAATATATATTTATAGGTGATAGTTGCAAAAAAAAAGGGGAGATGTGGTATTTTCAGAAAAATTTTATAAAAAGGGTGGCATTTAGAGCTATTTCCCTAGTTTCTTTTGGTAGGGGGAGGAGGGTTGTTTTCATTTTCGTTTTGATTTTAAAATTTTAATTAATATAATTTTAATTTTTATAAAGTAGATAATTTTTTATTAGTTTTTTTTATCCACGTGGACGTCCATGCCATTAAAAAAAATAGGTCCTACTTGTGACACGCAAACATTTAAGGGATTCACTAACGGTTTAGGTAACGGACAATGGTGGACATAGGAATATTTACAGGGGTGGGCTTTTTTTTTTTGAGTCAATTATAAGTCCTATTTTTTGACAAAAAATAAATTATAAAAAGCAATATTTCCTAATGTATATTTCCTTCAGATTAACAAATGTGGTATAATTTTTTACTAATTCAGTATATTTCCTTCAGTTTAAAAATTATTTCAAAGAGATATCTAAACAAAGAAACCTACAACAAATAAAGAAAACCCAAAAAACCAAAAACCAAAATTTAGAAGCTCAGACTAAGAGCAATTGGAAGCTCATGGACTTTGGGTCGGCAGAGTAATTCATTGAGGGATGGTCCATATTTCAATATTTCCAAAAGAAGCGAAATCAATAAAATCGGAAAAACAAAATCAGAGTAGGTTGGCTTTACTTTAGTAACTAAAGTTTTAAGTTTTAAGAAACAATTTGACCAAGAAAGACTTTAATAATTAAATTAATTTTCCTGGATTGAGATTACACAACTAAGCCTAATTTGTTTCTCTTCAAAGTCAATATTGGGCTAAAGCCCACTCTAGCCCAAGCGTGGATCTGTTCTTGGTAGTGAAGAGAGTAAATTATAGGCTTTCTACGAGTTTGAATATGTAAATGTCCTCAAAAATAGATATAAACTTAAAAATGACCCCATAGTTTAGGAGTTTTTTTTTGTAATTTTCCCTTTTATACATCTATATATTTACCCAACGTCGACCTCTCATCCCCACCATAGTTGACGGTGTCGGCATCGATGCTGGCACTCCAATCCTTTGCATCCCCATGCCCACCTCCCGTGCTCAAACTCCCTCACCATCTCTCTCTATGTTCACACTAGTCTCCATTGTTTTCAATGTGAAGAGAGAGAGAGTCGGCGATTATGGCAAGGAAGAGAGGTATAGGTGTTGGCTGATGCCGTTTTATAGGTCTAGCATGACTTGGACAAATTGCAAGTTGTTTTTTAATCGGTGGGATGCCAACTCAGTGTCACTCCATGTGAATTTCAGGTATTGGGCTGGCCCGATTCAAACTTCTAAACTTGGCGCAGCCCAGATCTTTTTTATCCGATGTGGCTGCCAAATCCTCAAATTCTTTTCTGATGTGGCACAAAAGCACTGGATTACCTATGTGGCGCTTCCCCCAGCAGTAGGAGAAATTATAAAATGATACGGTATCACCACGTCAGTTGGTGATACTTCCACTCATATATTGACACGTGTCTTTTTTTTCCCCAACTAATTAAATTATTTTCCAGCTAGACATTAGGTTTCAATTTTACCCTTTGGAACAAAATTAATTCAAAAAAAGAAAGAAGATGACTGCAGACCTTGGCTGCAGTGCCTCTACCCCCTTGCGGTTGCCCCTCCCCTTCTTTTCCTTCATCTCTCTCTCTCTCTCTCTCTCTCTCTCAGAATCACTTTATTTAATAGTTGGCTTTTATCATCACATTCCATGGGTCAAAACCTTATCTCTGCAAGTCAAGAATTTCTTGGGGCCCTTTAGGTTAAGTTTGCTTTGCACATCTTTCTGAATGCGTGTATCTGATCATCTCTTGTCAAGGCATTGTGGCATTGAGAGAAAAGTTGGATAAAGAGAACTCGGATCTGGAGGTTTTGAGGGAGATGAAAACAACCTAGATAAGGAGATTGAAGGATTGGGGAAAGGAATAGAAACAGGGAGGGAGGGCGCTGCAGAGAGGGACTGTGAACTGGTCGGAGGTGGGAGGGACGATGTGGCGAAGGGGGCTCCGAACTGGATAAAGGTGGGAGGCTGTGACAGTTTTTTTTCTCTTTTAATTTTGATGAAGGGTACAATTGGAACCCAATGTCTAGCCGAAAAAGAAGTATAAATTTTCTTTTAAAAAATACACTTGGGAAATTCTAAATGGAAGTATCACCTGCTAACGTGGTGATACTGTACCATTCTATAATTTCTCCGACGGTAGGCTAACATGCGCAACCTCTAACCTGCACCCATCCAAACTCTCATCCGCCGTTTGTTTCCCGAGAAAAACCGGAAAAGAAAAGAAAAAAACAAAAAAAAGTCCACTCTCTCAGAATCATGGCGGTTCGAGCTACTGTGTCGCGGTTCCCGATCGACGCTGGGGCCCACGAGAGCTCAGGCATACCATGGGGCGTTTCGGTGACGCCATTCGCGACCAAGGACGAGAACGGCCATTCCCCGGTGTACGGATCGGACGGTGAGCTGTTGCCGAGATGCGAGAACTGCTGGGCCTATTTCAATACGTACTGCGAGCTCGACCAGTGGTCATGGAACTGTGCCTTATGTGGAAACCCGCAGGGACTTTCTTCTCAGGCCATAGCTCGATACTCTCATCCTCAGTCTTGCCCCGAGATGATGTCCTCGTTCGTGGATCTGGAGCTTCCTGGTTAGTCGATTTGCCACACTTTCGAATTATTAGTGTCTCTGTTTGGTTGCCGAGATAAACGAACTAAAATTCGAACTTCGAATGCTCGAATTTGGGTTTCTTGATTTTCATTGCTAATTTGTGTTTCTGGTTTTTTTGTTTTTTGTTTTTTGTTTAATTGTGCAGTGGAAGAGTCGGATGAAGCAATGCAACCTTGCCCGGTTTATGTTGCGGCCATTGATTTGTCCTGTAAGTGGTGAACTCTTGGTCATTTGGTGCTTGAAAGTTCATGTCATTAGGTTGTAGTTGTACATTGCAGTTTATCACAATGATAACATTGCCGTGAGAAAGAGATAAGTTGGCATAACTGTCTTTTATTGTGGTCTGTTTTTTATATTACAATTGGTAGTACTTAGAAGAAATAAGATGATAATGTATAGAGCTGAAGGATTTCTTGTCATGTCTTTGGGCTGTGCTGGTGTTGATGACAATGAGAGTCAGTGTTCGGTTTGTTGTGTCAGATGCAGAAATTTCTCCTAATGGTTTATGAGTGGGTTTAGTTAGGGGTATATGCCTTAGGATATAGAATTTGAAGCTTAATCTCGTGAGTACATGTGTCACCAAAACTACGGATCCATTTGGATGGACTGGTTCCAAATCTAGGGATTTAGATGACATTATAAGGTCAAATTGTTTGTTTAGACTACTACAATCCATGTATGCCAAGATTTGAATAAGGAGGAAATGAAGAGGACAAATAGATTTCAAATGACTTTTTGCATATAGTCATTTCACATCCATTCCAAATGTACTACATCTAGTTATTTCAAAAGATTTTGTTTAGAATACGGCAACCTTTTCATAAATTTGAAAGGTGTTGTTTAGGTTTGCCCCTAGTTACATTTTGCACTTATCTGTTTCTGATTGTGGAAACCAAAGATGATGTTAAGGATGTAACCATGTTGTGATTGCCACCATCTGGTTCATTTCAAGTTAAAGTAACATTTATGTTCTTCAGGACGACTATTTTGCAGGCTATTTTTAGAAAGATACACATGGCAGTTTTTGTCAAGGCATTTACATATACTGACTATGAAGAACTTAATTCTTGAATTTTTTTTAATTTGAGGTTTGTGATCTGTGCAGTTTTTGTCACTAATAGGCTTATTGAAAGAAATTTCCTCTCAGCTAAATATTTTTCACGTTCTTTCTGGTCTATTATATGTTTCTTGATATGTGCATTCTTTTCTGGAAATATTCATTTATTTTTTAATTGCTTCTAAGATTTATCAGATCACTGACAATTTATCTTTTATGGATTTTACTTCAGCTTCAGAAGAATTTTTAGAACTTACTAAAAGTGCATTGCTGGCCTCTTTGGAAGGTTGGTTGATATTTGTTATGTGAAAATGATTTTATTTGTTTGTTTCTTCATGAATGCTGATAGCTAAACTCTCTTTTTTTCAATTTTTATCACAGCTCTTGCGCCTGGTTCTCTGTTTGGTCTTGCTACATTTAGCCACAAACTAGGGTTGTATGATGTTCAAGGACCTATACCAGTTGTGAAGAATGTTTTCATTCCCCCAGATACAGAGGGCACCTTGCCAATTGAGCTTGAAGATGTCATGCCTTTGTCACAGTTCCTGGCGCCAGTATGTCTTCCATTGTGTTTTCTGGCTCTTACTTCTTTATGTGCAATGTATTTCATCATTGAGTGATTGAGTTGTTCAAGTACAATTTGTTCAGAACACGAAATCACAGTTCATGTATGATTCAGTTTTGGTTTCTGAGCTAAATTCAGTAACTTTGTTACAGGTGGAAACTTGTAAGGATCGTATTGGATCTGCACTTGAAACACTTAGACCAACAACGTCATGGGAGAGAACAACGGCAGCTGGTCAAGGACTTGAGGGTGTTTTGATGGGCGGGCGGGGTTTTGGGGTGGCAATGGAAGCCATTTTGAACTACCTTGGATCAGAATATGGAAGCACATTTGCATTAGGTGCGGGATAAATCTCAAACTCATAAATTGTTTTTGGTACCTTAATGCTCTGATATAAGCAAAGTTTCAAATCTTTTTCTTTTCATCATATGATTTGAAAAGCCTGATTCAGTGACACAGGTTGTTGTCTCCTTTGAATGTAACTGCAGGCAGAGTCTTTGCCTTTTTGTCTGGCCCTCCTGATTATGGAGCTGGGCAATTAGATACAAGACGTTATGGAGAACAATATGCTAGTAAGAGAGAGGATGCGGACCGTGCATTGCTTCCTGAGCAGACGCCGTTCTACAGAGATCTGGTAATTTAATCTTTTACTTATCTTTGTTATCGTCTTTTGGGTATTTTTTTTGGAAATGTAAGCTTTGACATGTTTTACAGGCTGCTGTCGCTGTTCAAGCAGGTGTTTGTGTGGATATTTTTGCTGTTACAAATGAGTATACAGATTTGGCATCTCTGAAGTTCCTTAGTGTAGAAAGTGGAGGCTCATTGTATTTTTATTCAAATGCTGATGATTCAACTCTTCCTCAGGACATGTGAGTATGCGATAGAAAATACAATGCAATTATTTCGACTTGCATACGTGTGTATGTGAACAATTATGTATATTGGAGACAAAAGTATTAGGTTCTAAATAGTATGAATTATTTAAAGAATATTTATTTTTATTTTTAATAAAAAAGAAGAATATTTGATAAAATTAGAGAGTGACTTACTTCCCCCGCAGATAGAATAAATAAGCAATGTAGGCTTCCAGAATCATAATATACTTTGGAGAGTGCATGATGTAGTACATCCCGTAGGTATTAGATTAAGCACTCAAACAATAGAACAGAGAAGAATATAAGAGACCGAGGAGAAGAAATAGAGATCGAAAAGACAAGATAAAGGACAGAAACAGTAGAACAAAGAAGAATATCGGAGATCGAAGGGACGAAATCAGAGAGTTCTAGGAAAAGGTTTACTCAACATTCAAATCTGAATTTTAAAGAACTACATGGGGGTATTTATAGCAAACTAAAACCTAGACATAATAGGATAAAAATCCCTTGCTTAAACAGAAATCCTAACCCAAATAAAATAGGAAACTTAAAACTAGAAATCTGGAAAAGTAGAAATCCTAATAGAATTTGGAAAATTGGAGAATCTAGGAAACTAACAAATATATTAGGAAACTAATAAATTTAGGTCCTACGCGTCCTGCATCATTCTCCTCTGCCGAAAAGAACTCGACTCCGACGAGTAAACAACCACAAAAGGTAAATTAATGATGACAACGCCGACTGCAAGTATGAATAATAGGGGACGAGGGTCAGCAATCATCAATGTCCAGATCATAGACACCTTCGAGAGGCTCCTCAATCTCACAAAGCTCACTAGCAGGAGTGTTGATAGTTAAAGTTCGCTGCGGACAACGAGAGGCAATATGTCCTTTGGCATGGCAATGGAAACATTCAATGCGAGCATTAGTAGAAACAGCCGGTCCTTTGTTAGGTGGTGGTGCAGGCGGGTTAGATGGTCCTGAAAACCCCGTCTGCATATCCGTAGTGGGAAGAGGTTGGTTGGCAGTGGCAAGTTGACCAGAATATCCTGAATGTTGTGGCGACAAATATGTCTCACCTTCCAATGCATGGCAATATGCATCTTCCAAAGTATGCGGACGAAACAGTCGAACTTCACGCTTGATATCTTCACGAAGACCATGGAGAAAGCGAGACATAGTGATGTTGGGTTCTTCACGAATCCCCGCATGTATCTTGTGTTCGATAAAACGAGCATGGAATTCAGTAACGGTCAAACTTCCTTATGAAAGGGTCCATAATTGTTCATACAATTGATGGCGATAAAAGGTGGGAAGATATTGTTCGCGAAGCTTTAATTTCATCTCGTCCCATAGAGTCACAGGAAGCTGTCCAAATTGGTATAGTTGCTCCTCCATGGAATTCTAATATTGTCTAGCAGCTCCCTGTGGCGTCATCTTACCAATGCGAAGTTTATGAGCATCTGTCAACTCGTACCAGGCGAAATAATCTTCCATGGCTTGAACCCAATCAAGAAACATCGTAGGATCCCCACAACCATCAAAAGTAGGAGCGGTAGGCTTGATGTGGCGGATGACATCGTTGTCAAAACGGCGAGGGAGATGAGTGTACTGAGCATGTGGAACGGGTAGCAAGGTAGGAGCCTGAGTAGTCACTGGAGGAGGGCCAGTTGTGTGTTGGGTATAATGGAGCGGTGGCATAATCCCAAAAGAAAAAGGTGGCTCCAATTGAGCCTTGGTCGTGTCGAGCGAGAGCCCAGTTGAGCTATGGGACATGCCGTATGGCATGGCCTTGAATTTTTTATCCACCAGTGGAGTGGGCAGAAGGCCACTTTGTGGCAGTGTCGTAGATGAACTCAAGAGCACAGCTGGGGTAGACAAAGGTTCAGCGTGTCCAGCCCGAAAGTGATTGATAAGCAACTGAACGGAGTCTTGGAGTTTGGTGATGGCAAGGTCCGTCGTCGCACGATGTGTGTGAGCTTGTACCAACTAGTCTTTGAGGTCAGCGCTGAGTTTGGAGAGTTGGGTTTCCATGCCAGTGATATTGTCAGAAACTTTGTCTTGGAACGTATGAAATTGTTCTGCAGGGCTGGCCACGGTTTGGGGTGCCATGGCAGAGAGCAAATGCAAACGAAAGTGAAGGAACGCTCTGATTACCAATTGATGTAGTACAGCCTGTAGGTATTAGATTAAGCACTCAAACAATAGAACAGAGAAGAATATAAGAGACCGAGGAGAAGAAATATAGATCGAAAAGACGAGATAAAGGACAGAAACAGTAGAACAAAGAAGAATATTGGAGATTGAGGAGAAGAAATATAGATCGAAGGGACGAAATCAGAGAGTTCTAGGAAAAGGTTTACTCAACATTCAAATCTGAATTTTAAAGAACTACATGGGGGTATTTATAGCAAACTAAAACCTAGACATAATAGGATAAAAATCCCTTGCTTAAACAGAAATCCTAACCCAAATAAAATAGGAAACTTAAAACTAGAAATCTGGAAAAGTAGAAATCCTACTAGAATTTGGAAAACTGGAGAATCTAGGAAACTAATAAATTTAGGTCCTACGCATCCTGCATCAGTGCACTGATATCAGACGGGTGTTTTGGTCGTTTGAATACCTAGGTTTTAATTACTGTCATATGCTTTATTTGCAGGTACCGAATGCTAAGTCGACCATATGCATTTGGTTGTGTATTGCGGTTGAGGACATCATCTGAGTTCAAAACTGGCCACTCTGTGAGTTTCATGTTGTTTGATGTTCCAATTACAATTTACAACTGATGTTCCTATTACAATTTACAACTGATGTTCCAATTACAATTTACAACTGATGTTCCAATTACAATTTACAACTGTACCATTTGCTTATTGTATTTTATATATATATATATTGCAGTATGGTCATTTCTTCCCAGATCCACAGTATGAGAATGTTCAACATATTATCTGTTGTGATTCTTATGCCACATATGCTTATGACTTTGAGTTTGAAGATACCAAGGGATTTGCAAGGTAAGTATACACCTTAGGTTGCCATCTTGGTGTCTTTCCTTTGGCTAAACACAAATGATACTTGATGACTATTATATTACTTGAGTTTGAAGATATCAAGGGGTTCCCAGTGATGGTTATTAAAACCTATTACTTGAAAGTCGTAATTTTTTTTCCCTTATCCTAGTTGTTATTTTCTTTTTACTAAAGCTTTTGGTCTCCCCACCTTGAAGAATCCTGAAAGCAGCTTTTATGCCACTACCCACCTCAATCAGTTTCGGGCAGCAATTACTAATTTCTCAATTCTTTTTATACCAACTTTCTAGCTCTCTGGCGCAATATGCCATTTAGTGAAAATGTTCAATTCATTGTTAGTTTCTATGTCAAGTTATTCTAGATTTATACCCTAAAATTTTCTCTAGACGTCCAAACTTGAACAATGTTTTATTTTTATTTTTTGCAATACAAGTTTACATGTTTGCAAAATAACTAAAAAGCCCTAAACAGGATAATTTTGTCTGTAAATACTGCATATAAACATTTCTAAAATAATCAAGTAAAAAACTTAGAGACGGGAAGAAATCTTTTCCCACTCACTGCTACTGTTTTCTCCCTCTCTCCTGTCGCGCTCCCCTCCCCTGTCCTCTCTTTCATTAGTTTGGTATATTTTCATACAGCTTAAAGCACATTTTACATAAAAGTGAATGCTATTTCATTAAGATATTCCAATCATGCTTTGTTTCCGACAAAAAAAAATAACTAGTAGCTAGTTTTTTTTTTTTTTTTTTTTTTTTTTTTTTTTTTTTTTTGGGGATCATTGCACATTGTTTTGATTATTTTTTATTCCCTCATCTTCTCTGTGTTATAGCAACACATGTAGCTTTTAATTATTGAGCAGCACTTTCACTGCATGCTATCACTTACTGATATAAAGCCCAATGTTTGCTTCATGTGCATGTCTAATCCAATTCTGGTGGGACTGTTGTATTTTGCAGACATGGATCAGAGCCTCCTATTATACAGATTGCATTCCAATACACAGTTGTTCTGCCCCCTGAGGAGCTCTCTGATTCAGGATTGGTTTCCTCAAGTAGGTATGGTTAGTTTACTGACAGCAGTCTATAAGTTGGTAATCTTGTTTGTTTTCTTTTAATAAATGAACTATCCTACCTCAGGCGACATATTGCATTTTTTGTTTTTTTTTGGCTAATTCAACACTTCGTTGCATTTTGTCTACTCTTTACAGAAAATAAGTAGTTATTTTACTTGAGCGCATTGATAGAAGTTACTTATCTTATGTGTGTCTCTGATTGATGCCAATTTTCTGTACCCGAGCCTTAAAAGATGTTTCTTCTATATTCTAAATCTTTTATGGAAAATCTTAGCTCTGAAGAAGAATTTTGTCCAACCATCATCTTTTCTATGTCATCTTTGACACCATATCCCAGGTTTTTAATACCATCTCTACTCTTGTAACATTAGTTACACCCTTTTTTTCCAGGGTTGTCTCATGGTGCTTCTTATTATAGTTTTAAATGTTTTCATTGAAAATCCAATATTTTTCACTGCATTATGCAAAAGAACTTACAATGGTTAATGAGAAATACTAAGATTGAGTAAGAGGATCTTAGGATACTAAGGGTTCATACAAAAAAGTTTGGCATTCCGGTGCAGTTCGTTCTGCTAAATATGGATTTTTTTTAATGATTGACTCCACATGTCATTAGTTATTTGGGGAAATTTTTTTTTTTTGGGTGATGGTTTGCTCTCTAGAATGTTAAATTCTATATGTTCACTACTTTCTCCCCTCCATAATGATTGCGTCTGTGTCATGTTGCCACCACTACCACCCTTGCAATTATTTTCACTTATTAAATTTACTAAATTTTTATATTTTAATTTAAATGCTTTTGGTCTGAGCATGCTGAATGTTTATGTAGAGGCAAGCATTCCCTCAAACGACGATTACGGATTCGAACTTTACAATGTGGAGTTGCCCAAAATATAAATGAACTCTATGACAGTGTTGATCCTGAAGTGGTTCTGTCATTGCTTGTTCACAAGGTATGTGTGTATTACCATCCCAGCAGTTTTGTGCCTTAGTTTTTGTTAATATTGTAATTTTGTCTCTGTTCATGTGGCTCTATCATACTCCACCATGTAAAGTATATGATGATTCCTGGCATAACTGTTTGTGTTGTTTTTCTTCAAGCCAGTTAAAGGATTGTTTAGCATTATTATGTGAACTGTATTTTGAGGTTTCTATGAGGAACAATTTATTTTTTCTTAAATAATTTCTGCACTAAACTTCACTATAGAAATGCGTTGTGTTAGAAAACTCCAGCAAGCTGTGTTGTTGACTTTATAACTTGCTATTCTTTGTTTCTGCACTTTTTTCCTTCTAAAGAATATCCCCCGTTTACATTGATGCCCAAGAAAAAAATTTGATTATCTGATGAGGATATTTTCATCTGATGATTGTATGTTCATCCTTTAAAACAAATTTTAGAGACAAAACGACGACTAGCATATAGTTATTCACTGAGCCTCAACCGCATGTGAGAGGACTAGTTTTGAGGAGACACTTAGTGTCATGTTCTTGTTTTCAACTAAATTCCCATAAGCCATATAAACTGGTGGCTTATCACGTGCCTGAAGGGTAACAAACAATTGTAAAGATTATTGTCTTAGGACTAACCCTTCATGTGACCCACCATTCTGGATTAAAAAAAATAGAGTTGTTTGAGTTATGTGGAAACCAGGAAAAAGGAGGACACCTGACTAAAATCCTTAGCAGCATGAATTGGGAAAACATGTGAAGTGGTCGAAGAAATCTAAACTGTGATCTTCTGTGTCAAAAATGAACACATGCATCTCAAAATAGCCGAATACAAGCTCCGAGGTTATTATTCAACATCATTGTGGTAGATGAAATATAACTGCAAAGGTGTTTAGATACGTTTAATGCTTTTATTGTAATTGAGACTATGTTGGTGAATTCTGTTTGGAGCTTGATCAATAGATGGTCCTAAGTATTTGTTTTACGGGACTCCATTTGGTAATGATTTCTTTAATTGTACCATTTTCACCAAATGGGTGCAAACATGAAATATAATTCTGCGTTTGCTTGGCATAGTGTTGCTTGTTTAATATCTCACTCTTACAAGCTTGTGGAGGGCCTGACACCAAGACAATGGTTTGTACTACTGTATGTTGGAGTGAGATTATCTTCAACTTAGGCTGTTCTCTTTTTGTTCCCCTGAACTGGAGGTTTAAATCTTCTCACAGTAGGAGATCCTGCAGATGAGGTTTCCTGGAGGCTAGAGAGGAAATATAAGATATGCTTACACTAACAAATCACATTTAAGGGACTATTTACTGATGTCAAAGGCTCTTTTGTCTTTCATGTGGTTAATAATAAATTACTCTTAGTGTAGATTAACTTGATGTTTGTGTATATGTAGTTAATAGAAGTCTTACTGGCTCTATATTTTTTTTTCTTTTAAAAATAACGATAAAATATGTGTATCTGTGATAGTATAACATTCATTCCCAAATTTGGGAATGTTGTGGGAATAGGACGCACAAACACAAGTGTCGTTATGATTATGTACTGAAAACGTAATTTTTATTGTTATCACTTAACAATTCTGACCAATTGTTTATCATAAATTTGTTATTTCTATAGGTTATATTAGCCTCTCTGGAGCAAGGGGTTCGGGAAGGCAGAATGTTGCTTCATGATTGGCTTGTGATCCTAACAGCTCAATACAATGAAGCTTATAAACTTGTTCAACTCAAGAATGGAAGTTCTGTAATTGGTCAGGTTGATGTTGCATTCTCACAATGTCCAGAACTGCAGTCTTTACCGCGCTTAGTTTTTGCATTGCTCAGAAACCCTCTGCTCCGTTTTCATGAAGAAGGTGTTCATCCCGACTTCCGAATCTACCTGCAGTGTCTTTTTAGGTATTTGAGGCACAAACTGATATTATTAAAATGTTTTCCTGGTTTCTGTTACTAGGTTATAACTATCAATTGCAACTAAGTGAAACATCAACTCAGCAATTCTTTCAATTTTGTGCAGCGCACTGGAACCAAGTTCACTCCATCGAGCTGTGTATCCAGTGCTGACCTCCTATTCCACTCCAGATAAACAAGCATACCCACGACATTCACTTAGTCGTGCTGCACTGATTACGAGTGGCAGTCCTATATTTTTCCTTGATGCATTTACGACTCTAATTGTGTTTTATTCTTCAACGGCAGACCCTGCACTTCCTTTTCCTCCACCCCATGATTGTAAGTTCTCTACAAATTTCCTTGCTGCTTTCTTAGCAAATAGATGGTTATCAAAATCAAAAGAATCTTTGTTGTGCAAGTGCTTCACGTCTAACACAAGATGTCTTTTAGGTTTGTTGCGGACTGTGATCAACAAATTAAAGCAAGAGAGATGTGTCACCCCCAAACTCATATTTATCAGAGGAGGGAAGGACGATGCCACAGCTTTTGAAAACTATCTTATTGAGGAACGGGACGTCGACGGAAGTGGTCTAACGAGCGTTATGGGTTTTGTTTCCTTTCTTGAAGATGTTACACAGGGTGTGTTAGAATACATGAAATCTGGTATCTGAATTTCATCACAAAGTACAGGACAGAGGGTACATTTAGCCGGGGTGCTTAAATCACAGGTCTTGATACTGAGTGTACTGACCACTTGTTTAAGCTTTGTATGGCCATCGATGTCGGGAATTTCTGTTCTGGTTGAATCAGCCGGGCAGCTGTTTCTAGTCCTTTTCTTAAGCTCCCTACTGGTACAAATTATACAGAAATCACATTCACTCTCATAGTTGTTGTAAAACATAGTTGCGGGCATGTAAGAGCTCAACATTTCTGGCCAAACCATGAATATAGGTTTAGCAAACTGTGCTAAAAGTGGCTTTTTCATTGGCCATTGCTTGGTATAAAACAATGTAGTAAAAGTGAAAATTTTGTTAGTTTCCTTGAATTTTTTGCGTTTCATTCTAACAGTGGCGATATATGTTTTATTTTTTTCCTTCTGGAAGACTTTTCAATCTTCAGTCTCGAAATTTTTGTTTTTACTTCTTCAGTGGCGATGTAGTCATTACATTAATGGATTTTGAAACTCAGAGGCAGGCCTGAAAAGTTTTCCATGGAAGCTTTTGGTTTTACTTATGTTTAATGGGATTTACTCGTTTTAGGACTATTCAGTTGTCTCTCTCATGCACAACACGGGTCGATTTGCTTCCTAAATAACATATTTCAAGTTAATAAAAATATATATATATAATGATTACTCCCAGCGTCGACCCTCGGGGCCAGCCGATCGAACCCCGCCGGATCCAAAGACACTGGTGTATCCTCGCCCTTCTTATTCATATTCAAAATTGAAAACTCATTTGCCATTTTTGCTTTTATTTTATGCTTGTTTTTGGTTAGAAGGGAAAGTAACCCATGATTTGACAAAAACCCATTTGCATCTTTGCGCTGGTTTAGTTCGGAATGTTCTGTTTTGGATTTATTGTGTGCTATAAAATGAAGTGAAAACTCATTATCATAGAATTCGTTTTGTAGCTCACAAAATTTTGTGAGTTGACAATTTTGTTGATCTTTCATTCTGAATATCCTAACCTTTGTGAGGGACTTATAGCTCAAGTGGTTAAGAATATTTACTCATGCACCTAAATGCCTAAATTCGATTCCCCATTACTCCAAATATCGCTAGTATCAAAAATAAAAAAATAAAAATAAAATCTAACATTTCAATTTGATAAAGCAACAAGGGTAAACTAAGATCCAATTGCTCACAAACTAAATATAACTCAATTTTAAGGCTTTTTTAGAACAATAGTCCATCAATTTATACCAAATTCGAATTTTGGTCCTCAAATTTGATAAATGATTGTTGTAGTCCCTCAACCTCAGTGTCTCTTGCACCGTTAGTCCTAGCGTCATAATGTCTTCAAAAATGGCCCTAATCTCGTAATCAAACCCTAATCAAGCCCTCCCTCACACCTTAAATTGGCACAACTAGAAAAATTACCCCCAACAAATCCACTCAAATTGCAATCAAATTGGTGAATTTCTAAAACCCTAGAACTTTAATCAGCCCCAATTTACGAAACCTCTTCAATTTCCCTACTGGTGAGCAATTGGAGATTTGAAATTGTGTTAAAAGTCAATTTTGACCTTCAACAGTAAACCACATGCATGACATGTGCTCAAAATTGACATAAAATGTAATAGAATTGACACCATGACCAACATTGCGAGAGAAATTAAAGTTGAGGGACTACAACAACCATTTTTCTAATCTGAAGACCAAAATGCAAATCGAGCACAAATTCAGACTGTTATTCCTAAAAAGTCTACACATCTCCCACTTTATGCTCCAATTGAAACATCCAATTTTGTTAATTGGTATATATATATATATATATTATGAGTCCAAACTCCGGAATGAAATCAAACAATTTGTTCTGATTGACTATGAGAGATTTTTTTTGTTTAAGAATACCTCTGTAACTAATTACAGATGCATCAGTTTCAACTATTTTGAATTAGTTGTCTGCGGGAATGCCAAGACAAGGTAATGTTTTGACATATAGCTTGATTTTCTGAACTATCTGTGTGACTAGGAGACCAAGGAGGAGGATTGCTTTGAAGTCTATCAAACAAGGGTTTGCACTGCTTTCTTAAGTTTTGATAGAAGTCAGCAATATAATTGAAAGATAGTAAGAAATCTTTGGAGTTGACTTTTATCAAGAATTTCGACTGGAAATTTATTAGCAAATTGGATAACTATATATATATATATATATATATATATTTAACAAAAGCAATAGTCTAAACTATAAGGAGAGGAGGGTTTATCACACACACACACTACTAAGGTGTCATGTGAGTTCAAACCTGAAACCACTGGTCTGCAAGTTAAGACATTTTTCTATTGGAGTAGACTGCATTGGTTGATACGCTGATATTTTAGGTCATTTATTTAACTGTTCATATATAATGACATATTTACTTACCATCAATGGGTATGAGAAGAAAATGAATTATTTCAATTCATGACTTCTCCATATTCAATAACACATAAGGAATAATATATAAAAAATGTGAGTCCCACCTTAAAATCTGTAATTCAATACTCTTAAAACCAAGAACTAGATATTCTGATTTTTTTAGTTAGGAATTAAAAACCCTAGCCTCCATTCTCTCTCTCTCTCTCTCTCTCTCTCTCTCTCTCTCTCTCTCTCTCAAACCTCTTTTGCGTTATGTATTCCTCTCTCCCTCTCTCTTTCCTTACCTCCCTACTTATTTTTCCCCTTCCCCATCTACTGGATTTGGGGTTTTACTTGTGGGAAGGTTAATTGTGTCCAGATATGTGGATATATGGTTTTGTTGTAGGGTGATGGGCTGCAATATCAATTTTGTTCTCTGTCTCCAAGGCGGCGGTGATGGATGTGGTGGTGGTGGCAACAACGACGGTAGTGGCTTTGTTGGTTTTTGGTTGTTTATTTGCAGTTTTCTTTTTGTAATGATTGCATCAACTCCTTGTGAGTTGGGTGTTTGATTATTTCAAGTCTCTACTTGTATTTGTTTGTACTTGTGAGAGTTAAAATTGTTGTTGTATTAGTAGATTTGGGGGATGCGATTCATGTCTGGTTTGTTTAGGTATGCGGCTTTTATGCCTAAATTTCTCTGGTCTTTTGTGGCCTATATCTGGATTAACTCTATGTGGTTACTATCCTTCCATCTTTGTATTACCCCTTTGTGGGCATTTGTATTTACCCTTGTGGCTGATGGTCTTTGTGGCTAATTTATGAATACAATTAGTGCTTTTCTCTATTTTAAAAAAAAAAAAAAAAAAAAAAAAAAAAAAAACAAGGAACAACTAAGAAGGGTAATGATGATGATCTAATTCCTTAACTCCCCTATTCCAAAGTTCTCAAATTCCTTACTTTCGCCATTCCAAGTAAACATTTCATAAGTTATTTGCTTTCCTTTTCTTCATCCCTTCAAATTCAATTTTGATAGGATCCCACTTCAAATATAATTTCAAATAGAATGTCAATCCACACAATTAACCACACACCCCTAACGGTTAAAAAAACAAACCCAAGAAGAAGCACTTTGGTGTATAATATTGAGACCAACAAGCGGGAGATTGATCTTAGTGATACATATACCATGTACATATATATATATATAGGGGTGGATCCGTGGCACTATATTTTTGACATAAATTTTGACACAAGTTCTTGACCATTAGATTAACACATTATAAATGGCTAAGATTAAATCTCACAACTAATTTATTATTATCTTGTTAATAATAATTTTATTCCAAAGTTATTATTATTTTATTAGATTAATTAAGATTGGCATAGGTCCCAAAACTCTCTCTTTCTCCATGTAAATCGCCACATCTCTCTTCCTCCATGCCCACCCTTGGGTATCAATCACATGTACAACCTAAACTCTCCATTAGATGCTTTGGCATCTTGGGCGAAGAGGATGATGCAGGAAGAGGTCTGGGTGGACCGACCCTCATCAGTCCTAACTCATGTAGATGGGTTACCATGCCCTCCAAGAAACTGAAGACGAAACAAGGGCTATAAGTCAGCTATATTTTTTTTTTTGAGAGCTCTGTGTTGGTTTATGTTTCCTGTTGTTCTGGTTTTGTTTCTTAAAATGAAAGAGGTTTGTTAAAAAATACTTGAATTAATAATTAAAAATCATAAGAAAATTCTTAATTCATTAGTTAATTAATTATATGATCATTGAGCCTTGGTAAAACTGCATAATGGGTGGTAAGATGTGAGATAATTGCTTGAGAATAATCTGCAGGGGTTGGTTCAACTAATCCATTGAATATGTTGTTCAAGCTTTCACTTTAAATAATTTGAGGCACTGAAGATATGATCTTGATGAGCCTTGTAGGAATTGGGTTATGATTGTTGTTTACACCATAATCAACTGAGCATATCCATCCTCAAAACGACTAGCACCAAGGCCCACGCCTTCTCCCCTTCCCGAAGGAAGACACTCTTCTGAGGTGCCAGACACCTGCTGAAGCTCCCGACTGCCGAAGCTCCTAAACTGCAGAACCTAATCTCCATGAACATGTCACCACCACAGCGACTTGCAAGAGTCCCACATTGAAATTCTACACAAATCTCCCACTTTTACCTCCCTATAAATAGGGAACAATATCCATGTGAAAGGGAGACTTCTCTCTCCACTTAGAAGAGGATCCGGGTCTCAGAGCTAGACCCTAGGGCCGGGGACTCTCTTCTAAATCCCTGGCCTGGGCATCTCACTTGTCATCTTTATATTCGGGTTCGACCCTATGTACAAATGTAATCATACACTATTATAATGAGAACATACTTCTTCGTGGACATAGCTCATTCATTAAGGGTGAACCATGTATATCTTGTATTCTTTACATTTATCGCTTGCCCAAGTCTTTACACACATGCTGAAGGTCTTCACCTTCACCCATCATTCACTATCACCTACTCTCTAAGTTGACCTCCCAAAAAGAGCATCAACAATTGTTGGCTTGATGAAGGATGGGAAGAGATTTTTTTAATTTATAGATGTCTGTTGTTGATTGTTGCTGGTATTCTTGATTGATGTAGTTAGTGGTGGCCATGGAGGAAGATGGATAGAAATACAGCCAACGGTGGGCATGGAGAAGAGACATGGAGAGAGAATCAAGGGAACTATGCATTTCATAATTAGTTTATTAAAATAATAGTAATTTTAGGTAAAAAGTATTATTAAAAAGAAAGTAATAAATAGTAGTGAGATTTAATCTCAGCTATTTATAATGTGTTAATCTAAAGGTTAAGAACTTGAGTCAAAATTTATGTCAAAATTATGGTGTCACGGATCCGCCCCCATATATATATTTGGTCAATCAAAGTTCATTAAAACCCCAAAAATGGGAAGAAAACAAATAGAGAATACAAAGCCGAAAATGCCAAATGCAGAAACAAAGTACCACAAGTACATGGAAGATTAAACTAAGAACTAGTACAGTCTAGTATAACAAATCTTCCCCACACAAAATCAAAACAAAATACAAAATTGAGCCATTGTCGCTATAAAGGGACCGGAGACCGCACCAACCGCACCAATATGGCCACAAATGAGGGGATTCACATCCTCCACACAAGTCAGCATAGCTACACATAGACCAACCAATCTTATGCCAAGAACAAAATTTCCCCAAAAAACATAAACACAACATAACAAGAACATTCCTCCAAAAGTCATTTTCTACTTCACACCCGAGTCAGCTTGTGCACCAAGAAGAAAACAGCAACCAATCACAACATCAACATGGTATATACAAGGGAGTGGAGAGTATTGGTGCTAGAACTGTAGAAAGAGCTCTATATACAATCCAATAAAGACGCAACAAAGCGCTTAGAGAAGTAGTTGCTATATCTCAATGGAGAAACCAGATCTGGAAAAAGGAGAAGGCAAGAGTGGGAGGGGTTGTTGTGGGAGAAGTAAATTTGGTTGAAGGGGGTGTTTGGCAAAGAAAGGGGGACACATAATCGGCTTGAGACATATAATCTCAGCCCATAGCACAAGGCTCAAGCAGTCACTAGGAGAAGCAATCAACTCCTAGAGACAACCACCAACACATCCAAACAAGGCTCAAACACAAAATAAGACCAATCCCACAAAAGAATCCAAGGCAGGGGAGGTTGAGAACTGGCAAAGGAGAAAAAAGGGGGGGGGGGGGGGGGGGGGGGGGGGAGAGAGAGGATAGACCTCCTCCTCCCCCAGTGGAGCCATGCGACGCTGAGAAGAAAAGGGGGCGTTAGGTTTTTGCGTATGTAACTTGAATTTGGAGCTTTGTTCAATTTTGGGAAAAATATAGCACTACATCAAGAGATAGTTGATACGTCATATATGCAACTAGAAGGTTACGATTGAAATGCTCCAATCATAAAATAAATCTTTGAAAATTGTTGAGGGCTATGATCATAAAGATGAGCACCATATATGGAATGAAATATGTTCATGTATATCATTTGAATGTGCATGTTAGTGATACATGCGTATTTAGGATTTGCATGAGATAGGAGATGAGAATATTGTTTAGTGTAGTGTAAGAAAAATGACACATGTCATGAAAAAAGAGAAAGTCCAAAATAGAAGGTTAGAGAGAAGGTTGCTAGCAGTCCCCATAATCTATTGAGATTAGTATCAAAGTGAATGGACACATATGACATCTTCCTAAACTTTAATTCTTACTCATGTGGATATGTTTGAATTGAAAAGATTAGAAAATTATATATGTATAAGTTATAACATTGAAACTAATCGAAATTTCGCCCATATTACAGTCCAAGATTGGTTTCACGAATAAGAGAAAACACACTGTCAATGCCCAGTGAAAAAGGAATTGATTTGTAGACAGGTGATCTCAAGTTGGAACGCGTATATCACTTTTTCCTATCCTAACCAATAATGCAATGATACGTAAAATAATTTTTCAGCATGTCCTAAGTTTTATTTATTTATTTAGGAAAACTCCCCTTCCCCTCCCTAACTTTAGCAAAAAAATAAAATAAAATGAAACACACCAAATTTCTCCCCATTTGGATTCTTTTTCGATTTATTGATAGATTCCAGATGCCAAAACATGTTGATGAGAAAGATTAGCTGTAAAAACAACACCTAATTGTTAGCAAAATCCTATTGGTCGACAAAATCCTAATTTGGACACAATTCTGCCTAGGGTTCGTGCCCTTCAACCTTTCCATATAAAAACTATAGAGCCAGAGCCTTCAATTATTTTCCACGCAACCAAGGTTCGGATCTTGCCAATTTCGCTCTCCATTTGCTCCTCACTCTATTTATAGACAACCCACAAGAAAGAAAAAGCAAGCTCCACAGATTGCTCATTTCATTTGGTACTCTCTCTCTCTCTCTCGACTCTTTATTGTTCTCCATCGTATTTATGCTTGCTGGTTTGTTCAAATAGAAACTGCATTTCTGTTTTATGTTTTTGTGTTTATATTATGAACATGTAGTTCCTCCGCTGGATAATGTGACTGTTTGTTGAAATTCAAGGCGAGTTGTAAATGCTCTGTCTCCTTATATGTCAGTTGGATTTTGGACATTTCAAGTCGGGTTTCAAAAAAAATTCAACTTCTTGGGTTTTTTTTTATATATACATTTTCTTAGTGATTAAGCTGAGCTGAAAAAAAGGGAGATAATTTTGCAACTGTTAGGAGTTCTAATCCAAGTGATCTAAGTTCATGTTGCCTTGAAAACTAAATCCTGGTGAAATAGCTCAGCTATGTTGAGACATTCAAATGCTAGATGGGTTCACTGCACTGGGTGGAGGATTTGCAGTTTAGGTTTGGTAGCTTTTGGGCCTTTTTGTCCTATCCGAACAGGGGATAAAGTGGAAAGAATCTGGACAAGAGAAAAAAAGATCCGTTATGCCTTGAAAGTGTGCACATCCATCTCAGATTTTATGTACCCTTGAGTTAGTCTTTCACTCCATTATGCTGTTTCATGTAGTTTCCTTTACCTATGATTCTACTATTGATATAGGACCTACATATATATGTCTATAAAACTGATTCAACTAGAGATAAATATACTTTAATTCCTTTGTCTTTATCAAATGGATTGTTTGTGTGCACTTTCTGAACAACAGTGCAAAGTTGTTTTTATTAGACCTCAGATGTGTAATTTGTTCAAATGCCACTGGTCAAGTACTATCTTTCTGGAGCTATTGAGAATAGGTGGAGAGGATGTATTAGTGCATTTGAATTATGATTGTGCCTGTTGGTTATGTAAATCATAGCTGTAATGTCCATCCCTATCTCAGTTGTTATATGTCAATTTATTGCAGGAAGGTACCCAGATTGGTACGTATATTTTGGAAATGGTATTATCTTTGTCAAATTGGACTTTGTTGTGGCTTGATTCTCCTTTTTGTTGTAGCAGTCTCATTCCTTTGATCTACATAGAATCTTGGGTCCTACTTTTTTTGTCACTTTGTTGTGTGGCCTTGCATATGCATAAAGCATTATAAATGTCTCCATATTTTCCCCAATTATCTATTACATTTTACCGCCCCTAGATCCTTATATGCTCCATCTTTGCTATTCTTATTATTGGAATGGGGTTAAATGTGCCCTCGGATAAGGTTAAACTAGCCAATTTTCTTTTTCCTCTTTTGGACAGCAGTCTCGTTGTGACTTCAAGAAATTCATATCTTGAATATTTGGAGCACCTTCATAATCCACATGATAATCTTTCAGAAAACTCTTTTTCCTGTCTCTAATACTGCTGTTAATGTTATCATTATCCCTTAATAAAAGTCTTTCAAATTGAAAACCTTTGAGTTTGTTCTCATGAATCCAGTTCAATTGAGAAGCATACTCTGCAGCTCCTTTTGCCCATTCTTTTTTTTCCTTCCTTTCAATATGTGTTTACTTCTTCCCATGAATTCTTCTGGCTTCTGTGCCTTCTTCACAGTTGCCTTGCAAGCTTATTTAATTAGATACATAAGATGCCAAGGGCAAAAGCAAATGCTTCATCACTTGATAAACCAGTTGAACCCGAAAAGCCAATAGAGTCCGATGAGAAGGTTGATCTTGATGGTGACAATGACCCTGAGGAGGCAATGGATGAAGAGGTTGAGTATGAAGAAGTAGAGGAAGAAATAGAAGAAGAGGTGGAAGAAGAAGAGGAAGAAGAAGAAGTAGAGGAGGTGGAAGAAGAGGTGGAGGATGAAGATTCTAATCATGCCACTGGAACTGATGTTGGGAAATCCCATAGCAGTGATGAGGTGATGTCTGATGATGAGGATGAGAAGAAAAAGCATGCTGAACTTCTTGCCCTTCCTCCACATGGTTCAGAAGTTTATATTGGTGGCATTCCTCATGATGCTTCTCAAGAGGATTTAAAGGTTTTTTGTGAGGCTGTAGGAAAGGTTACAGAGGTTAGTTCAATTGCTCTTTATAAAATACCCTGTTTATGTTTTTATTTTATTTTTAATAAAATAAAACTGTATTGTTTTGTAACAACAGGTTCGGATTATGAAGGGCAAAGATTCGGGTGAGAATAAGGGCTTTGCATTTGTGACATTCAAAAACGTGGAAATGGCTTCTGATGCCATTGAGGAATTGAATAATACTGAATTTAAGGTAACCTAACCTTTGGGCATAATCATATTACTCCGAACCACGCATATAATAATCCTTGAAATATGAGTAAGGATATAAAACTAAAAGATTGAAGATTATTTTTTTTTTTAAAAACAAAAATTATCGTTTTGTACACTTTGGGCTGTTTGCTTTCATTCTAAATATGCAGCTCTTCAATTGTATTTACTCTTCTCTCTCTCCCTCTCTCAGGGTAAAAGAATAAAGTGTTCGACGTCTAAAGCAAAGCACCGTTTGTTCATTGGTAATGTTCCAAGGAGCTGGGGAGAAGAAGATCTGAGGAAAGTTGTGATGAAGATTGGCCCTGGAGTTACTGGTATAGAACTGGTCAAGGTTTGTGCCATATATAGTGTGCTCATGTGTCCATTATTTATCCCTTCATTCTCAGCCTTGTGAATTTTTATCTTTCAGAAAATTTCGGGTAAATCATTGTCAATTGTTATGCTTGTTTTGTGGTTTTTTAGATTCTTATCTTCATTGCTTATTAAACTTTTTCTCACAGGATATGAAGAACACAAGCAATAACCGAGGCTTTGCTTTCGTTGATTACTATAACCACGCATGCGCTGACTATTCAAGGCAGAAAATGGTGGACCCAAAATTTAAGCTAGATAACAATGCTCCAACAGTGAGCTGGGCAGATCCTAAAAATGCCGAGTCGTCTGCTGCTTCTCAGGTTGTTGCTAAGTAACTCTGTTCTTTCTTTTCTTCCTGTTTGCTTCACATTTTATGACTGAGGACTAAAGTATGCAGCTGGAATATTAACGGCAATGTCAATGTTTAACTTGGTGAATGCCCAAGTAAACTAGAAATAGTTTTGTTTTTGGACGTCTACTTGTCGGCATAGGGTTGCACATGTATTTATAACGGTGCAGGCAGGAATGATAATTCTAATATATGAATGCTTTTAGGTAAATTGTAATACTCTGTAGGAGTTTTGAAATGATAGTTGCTTTACGGATGCATGGATAGAGGTTGAAAAGAAAGGTAGTGGTGCATGGGAATTTAGATTCTACCAATTAGTATTTCATGCCACTTATATCTTGATAGCGCAGACTCCATATGATCTAGTAATCATTTGATGGATATTATCCATTTAAATAACCACAATCTGTTCCTGCTTTGTTCACATGGCAATCATTTTCCGGCTATTAATTACTGTATTTTATTGCATAGCTATCATCCACCAATTTCTGCTAGTCCTGGGAGTGGTCTTTAAATTTTTATTTTTGCAAATCTTAATGTACCCCATATCATACAGGTGAAGGCAGTTTATGTAAAGAATTTACCCCAAAATGTGACACAAGACCATTTAAAGGAGCTATTCGAACACCATGGGAAAATCACGAAAGTGGTTCTGCCAGCTGCAAAATCTGGACAGGAACAGAGTAGAATTGGTTTTGTACATTTTGCAGAGAGGTCCGGTGCCATGAAAGCATTGAAGAACACTGAAACTTATGAACTTGATGGTAACGTCTTATCTGCATTCCCTTTCCCCCCATTCTAAAGGTATTAAAGTAGTTTGTTTTGACGGTCTCATTAATTTCAGGCCAGCTGTTGGAGTGTTCTCTTGCAAGGCCACAGGCAGATCAAAAGTCTGGTGGATCAAACTCGCATAGGTCAGGGTTGCTTCCTAGTTATCCACCTCGTTTTGTTTATGGTATGGCTGGGGGTGCCTATGGTGCTCTTGGTGCAGGGTATGGTGCTGCAGGTTTTGCACAGGTGAGATATGTGCCAACGTATACTGATGTTCTTAGTTAGTTTACAGTGTGAAGTGAATATTTTAATTAAACTTCACATTCATGGAATTTTTTTTATTTAGCCTTCACATAAATTGCTCATGGACTATCATTGCTTAGCGTTAAATGGGTTTTAAATATAATGGTGCAAATGACTTTTTACCATGCCTTGATAACTATCGTTGTGCCTGGTTATCTAAACATGATATTCAATTGTTTACCTCTAATTTTCTTTGGTCTTCGTTTTGTGCTTTGTTAGCAGTTTGAATACCTTCAGAAGTATTATTTGTTCTGAGGCCAGGGCCATAAATAAATATAGAAGCAGTTACCCCACGGTCGTGGTTCAACATCTCAGAAGCATAGACACGGCTGAGAGGAATCCCGTGTCCAGGTCACACATGTTGACCCTCCTACACCATGCATGTATACACGTCCGATGAAAAAAATGAAATCGTTTTAGACTAGGTGCGGATACATTCTGAGCGCAGCACTTAGAAAACACTTGGTCCATTTGTTTTCAAAAGCTCCGTGAATGGAATGAACATAAGTTATATAAATTGGCAAGCTCTCAGTTTGAGGTCACTTGTGCTGTTGTTGTCAATGATTCAACAAAGAGAAACGGAACAGTGCTGAGAGAGAACAGGAAGTGAGAAAGTGGTCTGCGACTTAGGATTTAGGCATCAAGGTTCCCTTTCCTTTCATGACTGTATATTTTACAAAGTTAGGGTTTGTTATTTTCCAAAAGTAAACTTTAGGAAATCTCTCTCTCTCCATCAATCTCCCTATGCTAAAAACAGGCATCTGAAAAGCAAGAAAAAAGGAATTGTGAATATGGACCTTGATTGTTGATGTTCAAATTTTGGTACAACGTCTTTCCTCCATGCTCATGTTGTAGATCTTTAAAAGTATTTCCCATGATTTTGGCATGCTTTATTCAAAGCATAGACATGAAAATATTTGTTCACCTATGCCACTGTGCCCAAGATTTATCTGCCATATTTTAGGTACATGATTTCTAAAATTCTGCTGAAATTTGATTGTAGCCTTTGATGTCTGGACCTGGACCGGCCCCTACAGGCATGGGAATGATGCCAATGCTTCTACCTGATGGACGGATTGGATATGTTCTGTAAGCACAACTCATCTTTTGCCTCATATAGCTTTAATTATATGGCATCACATTATTTAATTCTATGTCTGCCTTCTACAATAAGTAACTGAATAAATAAATGTGCCATTTCATATAAAATAAAGCTGGAGACTATGTTTCTGTTCAAACACTGTAACTTAAGTGCACAATAGAATTTTTCTGCATATAATTGCGTAAAGTTTGAAAACTATAGACTTGGAGACGTTTTAAAATCCCACCTCTCTTCTTCATTCTTCCCAGCTCTAGTATCCACTTTTCAGTGGTTTCTATTCAGGGAACCAATATAGTAACCAGAAATATGAATCTGGGTTTGAAATCCATATAAAACTATTTTTTCTCTTCTAATTGTTTGGTCAATTTTTTTTTCCCTGTGGAGGTATAAATCTGTACCACGTCTTCTTTTTTCCTTGAACATAATTAGGTCTTGGGTTGTTTATCCTAGCAAGGATGCCTACACTTCTCTGTTTGGATCATAAAAATAAGAGGAAAAAAAAAAAGAAAGCTCCAAATTGCTTGAGACATTGGCTTCTTTTTAGCATCTTAACAATTTTCATCCCCTTGTGTATCTGTGATGTTAGGGCCGTAATTTTTCACTAGGATTTTTATTACAGGATGTGATTGATTATGATTTGAATTTTGGAATGACTGTTGGTTATGATTTGATTTGACCCTTTTGAAAGTTCTATTTATTTTGGCCATAATGGAGGAGCCCTTCGTGGTTCTATGAAGTTCTGTTATATCTGTCAGTTTTGTCTACTCTGTTCCATGCTCCAATCAATCACTTGGACTACTGAATGTAGTGCTTGGATTGCTTGATCTCAGGACTGTTTACTCAATTTGTTCTATATAATTGCAATAAAACATACCCTTGAAATAAACTTTCCCTAGCTTTATGTGACACCCTTCAATGAATGTTAGTAACTTGAGTAATTTATCTTTCCTCATTGCAGGCAACAACCAGGTGCACAGCCACACCCCTCACCTTCACATCAAAGAAGTAGTAGCAGGGGTGGTGGTGGGAGCGGAAGCAGTAGCAGAAGTAGTGGTGGTCCAAACAAGGGTAGGTACAGCAATGATACTGGGCATGGACGCAGGTATAACCCGTATTGATTGTTCTTGCAATGGTTAGAAGTTGGAGGGGTTGGCAATCCATTGTGTACTTCTCACGTTCAAGATTGTTATATAAAGTTGTAACGGCAGCATCCTATACGAAAGTGCGTTATGGATACTTCTTTGTTATACAATTACCTTATGGGGTCATCGTTGATTTGTTATATTTAATCATTGTTGACCCTAAAGTACACCAAACTAATAGAAACTAATTGAGGAAAAAGAGCAATAGTTCTTTATGAGGCATGTCCGGATTTTTACAAAGGAATACTAGTTACTTAATTTTTCCAGGTCTGGTAGCCCGCAAGGATAATGGTATCGAATCGTTTTTCACCGAGAAATAAATCTTATGCCATGGGTACGGACAATGCAAAATTTGCGATGTGTTTTTCTAAATTATTACAAAGTGACGTACTCAACAAGAACTAGTGGCCGTGAACCATATGAGAAGGTGGTGGCCTTTTCTTGGCCACTGGCTTTTATAAGAAGCGGATTGGTTCAGAAACGCTTTTGTTAATCATTTGTCAATCGTTCTAAATAGACTATTTGAAAGCACTTTTGGCACTGCCTGAACACTCATAAACTATGACCCAAAAAAAACACTCGTAAACACACCATAAGAAAAAAGTGTAGCTCCCTCTATCTTAACGCAATGGCACTTCGTCTTTGTGCACACAATCCTCTGAAGAGGCAACATGCAGATTCTCAAGGACAAAATATGAAGGATGGCCAAATTTGAACCCGAATTGCTAATTGTTATAAACCCAATTTAATAAGTAACACGGGCATTTTCAAATTTTGATTTAGAAGCACACTACAAAGACAGAGAAAGAAAAAAAATGCACAAAAATGCTGGCTTGCTCATTCATCATCGCTGCCATTTTCATCTTGGTTGTCCTCCTTTTCCTTCAGCTTTTGCGATGATGGCTCTTCCAATTTCCTCTTCTTCTTCACTTCCTTTGCTTTTGATGTTCCTGCTTTCTGTTTTCCTGCATTCTTTCCTCCACTCTTTTCTGCATTCTTTCCAGCATTCTTTCCTGCAAGGCAAACAACAAAACAAGATTTTCTCACACATCTAAATGAACCAAATTAATTGAATCTGCTTAACCATTAACTAAAAGCAAACATCACCATATGCGCATCTCAGATCCAAGCAAACGTGGTCAAGATTTGGGCAAAACATAAAAGGTCAAAGAAAACAACTGAGTGGGGCATTTCATCAAACACCTTGCGGACAGAAATTTTCAAAAATTAGTCACCTTTAAGCGAGGCCTCAAGAGGCTTGATAAACTCGGAGAACTCAATCTCTTCCAGCGCTTTCAAAACATCGTCGGCGCTGATTGTCTGCCTCTTCTTTTCCTTGCATATGTCATTTGCTCTGCACCCAATCAAAATATTTTTAATTTAATTAATTAACTACGATTAGACGAGAGAGAGGAGAGGTGCATACGTGGCGGAAAGGTAGTGGATGAAAATTCGGGCGCTCTCGGAGAAAGCCAAGAGGGCTTCTTTGTGAAGAGTTAGGTCACCGTCGCCCTTGGAGCACTGGGAAAGCTTATCCTTCACCACTCGGCGCACGATAGCCTTCGGCAGCTCCTCCGCTTCCGCTACCACTTTCGCCATTTTCCTTTTCCTTCTTTCTCCCTATCTGTCACACGCTTTATGTCTCGAGTCTTTCAGCAGCGGTACCCAAGGAGGTTGAGGATATGATTGTAATTTCGTCCTCGTTCGTTTCCCGCCATTCCTCTCACACGGTCTTGCCTCCGCTTGAGGCTTGATCCCTGGGGGAATTTTATTTTATTATATTATTATTTTTTCCCGTTTTGAGGTCACAAGAGGGCTCAAAGGCCCAAGTAATCAACTAAACTAGATAAACCATTGGGCTAGTACAACTAAACAATTGACAAAGTCCAATTTTGTGTAAGGAGGGTACAATTCGATTTGACCGGTTCGACCCAAAAACCGCAAATACACTCCATCCTTTCGTAAAACAACCTTTGCTTATGTTTACCAACTTGGAATCGAAGTGAGCACAAATCGGAGTTATTGCTGATGGCCCATAATTACCATCAATCACAATACCACCCCTTCACCATGAAGTCTCATTCCTGAAAAATCAGGAGTGTGATTGTTGATTTTATGGGAGACCCACTCTTGTTTTTATTCCAAAATGTTAGTAAACAATTTGTTGTATTGTTGAGTAAAGAAAGAGCAAAATAGACACGCTACAAATTGGACGGTGATTACCATTTTTATATCCTTACTAGAACGGGTAAGCTGTTATATATAATCTAACAGTTAAAAAAGTAGTTATGCCCAAAAACCAAAAAACAACTTTAAAAAAAGACGGTATCTGTAAATTGCAAACACCCGTTGTAAGCCAGAATTTTCCTGGTTGGGGCCGTCCTAACTTGAATTTGACATCAAACTCACGAAGCCACCCAGCATCCATCCATCCGATACCCCACACATGTGACACGCTTGCGTCGTCAGTTTTAATACGTACCTGAATGCGGCGCAGTCCAACCGTTGCAGGTAAGTTTCTCTCCACATTCGTACGAAACCTGCCGCCTGAATCCTTAAAAGCAAAAGCAAAATCAAAATCAAAATCCAAATCCAAATCAAAACGTACAAAAAGAGGACATCATTTTCTGATAGCTTTTCTCACAAAAACACTCCAAATCTCGTGTTCCTCCTTTTTTTTTCTGAGTAAAATCTCTTTGATTTCTGCAACCCACGAACACATCCCTTCTTCATCAATGGCTTCCAATGGGAAACATGGGTCTCCCTCTTATGCGCCCTCTGCCCCATCCCTGCCCGAGTCCTACAGGCAGCAGTACTCTCAGGGGAGTGGCGGCTTCTATGGTTACGGGCAGCAGCACTCTCAGGGCAATGGCGGCTCCTATAGTTACGGGCAGCAGCAGGGGCCTTCTTCATACGGGCACTCTGGTTTTCCTCCGGGAACAGACCCAGCTGTGATTAGCAGCTTTCAGATGGTCGACAGGGACAGGAGTGGTTTTATTGATGATAATGAGCTGCAGCAAGCTCTTTCTTCTGGGTACCAGAGATTTAGCCTCAGGACCATTCGCTTGCTCATCTTTCTCTTCAAAAGCCCCAATGATCCTCTCCGAGTTGGTGAGTTTTTGTTTTTCTTTTCATCAAAATGGCTTCTTTGTTCTTCAGGATTCATTGGATATGATTAGAAATTTGAACCCAATTTGGAAATTATAATGCTTATTTGTTAGACGGGTATCATTTGATTTCTTATAGATGTAAACTATGAATTCTTACCTAACTTGCATATATTTTTCAAATTTCAATTCTTAGCTAGAATTAATTTTAGTTTCTCTATTTATTTTCTAAATGTCAACCTGAATTCTGGCTGGGAATGTTCTTGTGTTTATTATCATGTGTACACCAACAGTCAGCATTATAAATTCTTTGACCTGATAAAAATGAATTATGGGTTGCTGCTTGTTAGTTGTTTTTGTTTCGAATCGAAGCATCAATTTAACTAGTCCCACTTTATTAATTTCCTCTGAATTTTCTGATATAGGCCCCAAAGAGTTTGCTGCACTCTGGACTTGTCTTGGTCAATGGCGAGTAAGTATCATCAGTTGCTTTCTTTTATCATATGAATCTACTTACGATAGTTAATGGTTGTTTATCGTGGCCTCTCTACCGAGTAAATCCCTCAATTTCTATTGTATAATTTTCTTCTACTTCTTTTATGTCATTTCTTGAAGTCCAATTGAAGGAAAGGGCTCATTTCTAGTACCAATTTAGCTTAACTTTTGCATTGATTTTTGGCAATAATAGATTGCAGTGGCTAATCTTGCAAGGATCCCCACTCATTTGATTCAAGTCTTAATTTATATATTACGTACTCTGGAACTACATAAATTGTAAGGGCCACGTAGTTGTGTAGCTCTCTTGTAATCTTGGAAAGAAACTTATCTGAACACATTCGTATAGTTGTATTGATTCAATTCACCACCATATATGTTCTACGTATGGTTGTTATTGAACACACTGCCAATCTGCAATGCCATTTTAAGCAGCCAGAGATTCAGAATGCTGAATGACTCCCTACTTGTTTGTTCATAGAAAATGCTTTCAGATGTTATATATCCGTTCCATGTTCTCTTTTCCATGAATTGTCACTTTGAATTATTAATTAAACCTGCACTTGCAGGGCATATTTGAGAGATATGACAAAGATAGGAGTGGGAAAATTGATTTGATGGAACTGAGGGATGCACTCTACAGTCTAGGCCTTGCCATCCCACCTTCTGTTCTTCAACTTTTGATTTCCAAGTATGATGATGGAAGTGGGAGCAGGGTTGAACTCAATTTCGATAGTTTTGTAGAGTAAGTCTTCTTATCTAATGTAGTGGGACACTTTCTTTTGCTAGACTTTGAAAACAAAAAACCATTAAGGATAAAGTAAAATCACGTATAAATGTACTGTCCTGGATCACAGTATGGCAAAATAACATGCCGGATATCTGACATTACCCCTGGATAGTTTCACATGAATTGTTCTGTTCTTCCTAAGAATCAAGTGATAGTTATGCTTCTTCTGACACACTGTTTTCTTTGATACGCAGATGCGGGATGATTGTGAAGGTGAGAAATAGCTAGCTTCGTGCAATTTTTTGGGCAGATGTTCAAATTTTCTCTTTGACAAAGGAATAGCCATCTTTGATTCTAAATTTTGTTGCTGGGATTTGCTAACATGTAAATGTTGTTATATTTTGATTTCAGGGTTTGACTGATAAGTTCAAAGAGAGAGATCTGCGGTATACCGGTTCGGCAACAATTAATTATGATACATTCATGTCTATGGTCATCCCATTTTTGGTGTCATATAATTGATTTGGTCTTGCTGTTTGTAAATATATAGTTTGTAAAGAAATTTGTATTACATTGTTTTGTATTTGCCTAGTGAAACTTGTGATCTGTCTAGAGGTACCTTTTGACTAAGAATTTTCCTGTGGGCAATGTGTTTGGGCCATTTTCAGGGTAAACACAATGTATTTGCATTTCATTGTTTGACAAGCAAGGACTTTTTCACCTTGTGTTGGCAGATAAAGAGATGACTGGATATTGATATCTTCGACTAAATTTAAGAAGACAAGATGTGGATAGTGACATATTCCAACAAAGAGATTACTGGATATTGATATATTCCACCAGATAAAGGCATGCTTGCTTGAATTACCCTGATTACCTAATTTGGTCCTTTCCTTTTATGAATACTGCTTGCCTCCTTCTACGGGTAAGAATTTTCCTGTGGGCAATGTGTTTGGGCCATTTTTCAGGGTATACACAATGGATTTGCATTTCACTGTTTAACAAGCAAAGACTTTTTGTCTAAAATATCGAGGATATTATCATTTTTTCGAATCACGAATATTTCGAAACGTATCTATGCACATATCGTATAAATATCGACAATATCGACAATAATATCGGAAAATATCGACGTTGATAATTTCGCTCACACTTCAGTAATATTTTGTTACAATATCGTTATAATATCACTAAAATATCGAAATATCGATGTAATGAAAACAAAAAAAGGGAAAAAAAAGGAAAAAAAAGAAGGGGAAAAAACACAAAGGGGATTCAAGGTATTTCCTCTTGTAAAATTAGTCATCCTTGGTTTGCTTTGTATTGTGGCGTCCAAGTGGTAAGTTCTTTTTTCTTCTAAATATTGAGACATGGACAGGCAAGAAAGTAGTAACTATGATTATACTCATAACCAACCATTTCCCTACCCTTTATATCCCATTCCTTTTAAGAAGGAATCGAGCAGTTCATGGAAAGAATCCAAGACTCAATCTTCAAATGATTTTGCTCATGGACAACGTCAATCAATCTCGGATCCATATAGGTGGCATGTTAACAATTACATGCAAAACTATTTTGGGGATTTATCATTTGATGAGTACTCTTCACAATACACTTACTCTACACATAGAGATGATGAAGATAGTGAAAAATTTGAACCTCATAGGAACTCTATGTGGTACTAAGTCACTTATGTATCTTACCTGCAATGTTTAATATATAAAATATTGTAGTAAATCATTATATATAAATGATTGGGGTGTGTTTAATCTTCTTTCATTAATTACTACATATTTTCTACACTCACAGTGTTTGTCAGCTCGCTATATAATCAACTTAAATTAGTTAAATCCATCATGCAATGCATTTCCTTTCAATTTTTTGTGATAAACTAATAAATAATTGACTAAATAAGCATCCTCCAAAGTTTCAATAAAAATTTCCAAGTTTTTCTTACAATTTTCATGGTTTTTATTCAATTTTTATCGATATTTTCATCAAAATTTAAGTGTTTTTGGACTACCGATATTTCTGATATCACCGATATTTTAGACCTTGGTTAACAGATAAAGAGATGACTAGATATTGATATCTTCGACTAAATTTAAGGAGACAAGATGTGGATAGTGACATATTCCAACAAAGAGATTACTAGATATTGATATACTCCACCAGATAAAGGCATGCTTGCTTGAATTACCCTGATTACCTAGTTTGGTCCTTTCCTTTTATGAATACTGCTTGCCTCCTTCCAAGGAGGACATTACTGCGAATCACGGCTTGAAATATTCTAAAAAATAACTCATCAAAAACACAAAAAGAATTACTTATACATATATGTCATACTGTCATTGACAGGAACATAGGAGTTCCTACTTAATAGAAGGGAACTATTTTTCTTATTTTATTTCAAAACTGAGGGTTAATTATTTTTCATTCAAATGCCTTTCCAAATTCAATCTTTCTACGAACCCACACGGTTCTAAACCCTAACTCAAACTACACACACGTGACACGTTTGTAATACAAAAAGTACTCAACGTATTGCAGTCTTGGACTTGCAATCTTCCGCATTTGAAGTCCAAAAATTGTTAGTGCAAAACCGAAGGTTCATTCTAAGCTCGTGTAGCATTTCTGGAAGGTGTATAAGTTCCTTGCTGCTATTCCCCTGTGAAGAAAAGAAACGATAGAGACCCACCTGACTTTAAAATTAGGGAACTTGTTATTATCAAATGTACTGGACCACCATGACCCGATTTTCTTGAATGCTATAAGCAATGGTGGTTGATGTCGAAAAATGGATTCAACTTAGGTGTGCTGTCTTTGGCCCCGGGAGTCCTCTGGCTGGTGAGGTTGGACCTACATCTATAGAAGGATTGGTAAGAGGTTGAATGCGCATTTTGCTAGTCTAGTCTAGTCATCCAAAACAAACAAGACCTTGGTGTGGTACCGGCTCAAGAACTAACTTCCGATGTTTAAGTCAGTTAAATTTTGGTAGAATAAGGGTACAATTAGGAAAATCATACCTATAGCATGGGTTGCCCTATATGTAGAGAAAGGAGTGAGACCCTTATATAATAATTCGATGTGAGACCCTGAACACGAAATGAGGTGGCAACACATGTACATGAATAGTGAAATCCTTTGTTTGGGATGAAAAACTTGAAAATCAAAATTTTATGGGAATAATAAGAATAATGATATTCCTCTCTCAAGGAGGCAATATATAGTGGGTTTACACCAGGAATTACAGGAAAGTAATTACATCAATTATGGGATCAAGAATCCTTCTGTGGTAAGGAATCCTAATACAACAATAATTACATAATTAGAATAATTCAACACTCCCCCTCAAGTTGGGGCATAAATATCGAACATGCTCAACTTGCAAACACACGTCAAATATCCGACTAAAAACCGCCTTAGTGAGTATATCATGTAACTGATATTCAGAGCATACTTGAGGCACTTCCACAATCTTTTCATCCAATTTCTCCTTGATAAAAAAACCTGTCCACTTCAACATGTTTTGTCCAATCATGTTGTATCGGATTGTGCGCAATATCACACGCCGCCTTACTATCACAATATAATTCATAGGTTCTTTTGGTGGATAACCCAAATCAATCAACAATAACGTTAACTATAATAATTCTTGAACTCCAAGGGTCATTCCCCTATATTATGCTTCAGCACTTGAACGGGAAACAACATTATGTTTCTTACTTCTCTACGTGACAAGATTTCCACCAACAAATGTAAAATATCCTGACGTGGACCTTCTATCACCCACATCACCAGCCTAATCAGCATTAGTGTAGCCTTTAATCTTCAAATATTTATCATCTTTTGTGAACAAAATTTCTTTTCTAGGAGCTGCTTTCAAATAGCTTAGAATTCTCATCATTGCATTCATATGTTTCTCTCCAGGATTATGCATGAATTAACTAACAACACTTAAACACATAGGCAATACTAGGCTTGTGTGAGCTAAGTACATAAGCCTTTTGACTAACCTCTGATAACGTCCTTATTAGTAGACACTTGATTAACTTCAATCTCCAACTTCAATCCTTCTTCTATGGGTGTATCTACTGGTTGACAAGCAGACATTCTAGTTTCACTGAATAAATCTAATGCATATTTCCTTTGAGATAAGAAAATTCCCTCATGTGATCTAGAAACCTCAATTTCCAGAAAATATTTCATATCACCAAGATCTTTCATTTCAAATTCTTGAGATAAATACTTCTTCAAAGCTTCTCGTTCATTAGAGTCATCCCTGTGACCACTATGTCATCAACATACACAATAAGACCAGTAATTTTGTCGTTCCGTCGCTTTAAGAACAAGGTGTGATATGAGTTACTTTGCATATACCCAAAATTTCTCATAGCTTTTGTAAATCCTCCAAACCATGCTCTCAGGGATTGCTTTAAACTATATAATGATTTTCTCAATCTGCAAACCTTATGTCTATGCTCAATGGGTATTTGACACCCATGTGGGATATTTATATATACTTCTTTAGTTAAGTCTCCATGAAGAAAAGCATTTTTCACATCAAAACTGTTGCAAGGCCAATTCAAATTGACAACCAATGATAGTAATTCTCGTACCGTATTTATCTTTGCTACTGGAGCAATTGTCTCCATGTAATCAATTGCCATATGTCTGAGTGTGCCCTTTGCAACTAACCTTGCCTTGAAGTGTTCGATTGTACCATCTACTTTATATTTCACTGTATATATCCACCTACACCCACTTGATTTCTTTCTATAGGAAGATTAACAAGCTCCCATGTCCCATTCTTTTGAAGTGACTTCATCTCTTCATTCATAGCATTTTTCCATTTAGAGTTAACTAAGGCTTCCTGCACACTGTTAGGAATAGATATAGAAGATAATTGACTGACAAATGACTTACTTGATTCAGACAACTTATGGTCAGAGACATAATGACTCATGGGGTATTTCACTTCACTGGCAAGATCAGGTTCATATGTGAGTTTAGGAATACCTCTAGTAGAATGATTGGGCATCTGTCTCTTTGGTGGTGTAGGAACATCCTTAGCAACAGATTGGTTAGGTGTAGGCACTTGGTGTTGGGCTTTGTGGCATGAGCGGCATCAGTGATGCCGCCATGGGTATAGGAGATGCTCCACCTGAGTTGGAGCATTCATCCATCTCGTAAATTTGAACATTATAACCGTAATCAAATAACTGAACTTCCTTATAGTGCTCCCCCTAAAGTTCATGCTCATGGGAAAAATATAGGGTGTCTTCATGAAACACAACATCTCGAGTGACATACATGGTTTGGGATGGAGGGTGATAACAATGATACCCTTTCTAGGATGTGTCATAACCTACAAAAACACATCATAAAGCACAAGGAGCTAACTTACTCCGTTAATGTTTACGTAAATGGACAAAAGCAGCACATCCAAAAATATGTGGTGGTAGATTAGAGATAGGAGGAGTGACAATGGCTACAATAAGGCTTTGCAGCGGTGTTTGAAATCCCAATGCACTGGAAGAAGTTTGATTAATCACATAAGCTGCAGATGTAAAGGCTTCACCGTCAATATGAGGGTGGAATATGGGCATCAATAAGAGAAGCGTGAACAATTTCTAAGAGATGACGATTCTTTCTTTCAACTACCTTATTTTGCTGAGCGGTATATAGACAATTGGTTTGATGGACAATGCCATGGAATTCCAAATAATTCCTCAACTCTGTACTTATATATTCTCCTCCATTATCATTGCGGAGAACCTGAAACTGCATGTTATATTGAGTAGTAATAGTCTTATGAAATTTTTGACTTCCCCTTTGGATTTCATAAGACATACCCATGTCATCCTAGTGCAATCATCAATTAATGTAACAAATCAGCGTGATCCACCTAATGAAGAAGGTGTAGATGGACCCCAAACATCAGAATGAATGATCTAAAATGGAAAGAAACTTTTATTCAAACTAGAATCAAAAGAAACGCGATGGCTCTGAGCAAGTTCACAAACATCACATCGTAACTTAGAAACACCAATAGCTGAAAATAACGTAGGAAATAATTTCTTTAAATAACTAAAAGAAGCATATGTCCCAAACGAAGATGCTATAACAAATTGTTTTTTGATTCCTCTCATCTTGAGAGTCTGCTACTATCAAAGCTTCAGTCAACTTCTTCAAACTATCATATACCAAATCCAATTAGTATCGCTTTCCTCGCCTAACACCATAACCAATCGTTTATCGCATTGGGATGTCCTTAAAGATGCAAAAAGAAGGCCAAAAAATTACAATACAATGCAAAGCAACTGTAATTTGGGCAACAGATAAAAAATTATAATCAAGGGATAAAATAATAAGAATTGAGTCTAAATTTAAGGTATCTGTAAGAGTAACTGATCCTTCCCCAATAACAGAGGTTGAAGTCCCATTAGCAGTGGACACACTAGGTTTAGTGGATGGGGTGAGTGACGACACATGTCTAGAATCAAAAGTCATATGATCAGTGGCACCGGAATCAATTATCCATGTATTATTTGAAACAAATGCAGAAACATTTAAAGCCTTACCAATATTACCTGTAGTGGCCACTAGGGTAGAGGCCTTGTCTACAATATCGCTATTCTCACCATTCTTTGTGTCAACAACAGCTGCAGTTGAATTTTCTTCCTTGGGTCGCAGTTGTGATCCCATCAATCTGGATACCCAACAAGTTTGAAGCATCGGTGTTTTAGATGACCAATTTGATTGCAATGAGTACAAACACAATCATTAGATGACATAGTGCGATTGAAGGATTCTTAGCTATCACTGGTTCTGTTAAGTCGGTCGGACCGGTTGAATTGATCTGACCTAGAGATGCGACTAGACCTATCATTGGACCCTATGCGATCTGGTTGAGCATTAGACAACCGGTTAGGTGCTCAATTTGAGCAATCATGGTTGTTGTGTCAGACTTGTCCCTTTCAGAATTCATAGTAGCCCGACGTACTGAATCATGTCTAACAAAGGCATATGTGGCCTCCAATTCAGGTATAGGATCTTTGCGTAGAATTTCTCCACGAATTTGCTCAAATTCCACATCAAGACCAGTGAGAAAGATGTGCACCTTTTGTCGCTGAATTGACTTTCTGTAAATCTCAATATCACATGCACATATCACGATGATCCAATTCACCAATTTTTTTTGTTAATTCTTCATAATATGTGTAGAGATTCTTCCCATTTTGTTTGGCAGAAAAGGCTCTCTGATTCAAAGAGAACACCTGTAATTCATCAAAACCATCGTAGAATGTTGGGCTCATGGCAAGTTAGGGATACACCTACTAATTTTCCCTCATCCTAGCTCAAATATGCAATATATGTCAAATCCTTAATTTGTTCCATTTTTCAACGCCAAACACGACTTGAGTGTGTATTTCCACTACTATCTACTTTCTCACCAATTTTGATTTGGAGCCTTTTCTAACAATTTGGCACTTGGACTCGTTCTACATTAGTAATTGCATATTGTCACGTCAAATTCATCCATTAATATAGCGGAACATACGATTTGGACTTGATTACAAACAAAATTAAACTACAATACTAAAATTATCGAACCTTTTTATTATTATTTATTTATATAAAAAGCGATAGTATTTGTTAATGAAACAGAACAAGTACAAAGCCACAAAAGTGCTCAAATGGGTATGATATCTCCAATGACCAAACACAACAACATGTTGATTTGATCTGGAGGGAATTACGCTTAAACCAACAAATACTCAAACCCCAGATTTAGTAGCCCTACGTGCCTATACTCATGCTAACAATACAAATCTACTGTGCAATGGCAGAAACGGTATATCCATATCACAGTCAAAAACTAAAATACAAAACACAACAAACTCCTAAAGAGTTCCTGAGAATTAAAATAAAATTAAGCAAACTCCTAAAGAGTAATAATAGACTAAAATTATCAAACTTAAGAATAGGAACCAAACATGTAATTCAACCTTCAATAATCTCATTTGGTTTCCTGTTTCCTTGACACCATGACATCAATACCTCTCTCATTCATAATTTAAATAACTTCATATGGTTGGAAGAAGCTGTCTAAAATCCAGTTGGGTTGTCAATTCATTTGGCAACCCAACATCACCTACATTAATATCTTAGTAGTAAATAAATTGTGGTGGTTGTACGTACTTGTATATCAAAAGGTCATCAGATATTAATCACAATTTTATGTTGAATATATTAACTAATATTCAAGTGGGTTCCTATCTGTCAAGCTTATCCCATTTGGGGCCCCATGCTGATGAGAATCCTATAAGGCAAAAGAATCGTCCTTCAAGCTTGAAAGTGACCCGCACTTTGTAGCTCAAGCATTGCTTCATGTTACCTTTGTTGAACAAAATTCTCAACCTTAATTATTTTTTTAAACCACCAATTCAACAAGAAAACATGATTCTTAGGGTTGAATTCATTTCGAAGATTATTCACTGCGCCTGCTTTTTTGACGAACCTAAACACAGAATGTATTCAAAAGATTATCTTCATTCAAGTATTATGCACGTTTGATTTGACCATCATTATCATACATTAAGAATTGGGCATGGCAGCCATAGCAGCCATAGCGACAGAGAATACACTGTTTGATACGAAGAGATTAACCGGTCGATTGACACTAATCTCGGATTGTAAATCCACTTCATTAGCTCGATTGATTCGTGTCGTGTTTGGCTCATTTAAACTTTTGATTCCTAATAGAAACAAGTCATACTAAAACCACATTTTAATTACGCTTGTTCGAAATAAAAATCCAAGTTCAAGTTTTGTTACCAAAAGTTTACAAAGCTCGTGAAAAACTTAACCCTAAACTTGAATTTTGTCAAGAGAGCTGGACTTCAACTTGAGCTCAGCTCATCCGAACTCAACTCGTAAAACTCAATAATTTCAACTCCTCTAAAAAAATATTATTTTAATGCTAAAAAATATATCATTTAGATTCAACTATTTATAATTAAAGTCGGGCGAAATTTTCAAGAACTTTGTAGTTCAAGTAGTTCAAGCGGTTAAGACTAGTTATTGCTACATCTGAGATGATGTTCGAATCTCCCATTCCCCCAATATCGCTTCGCTTGTATCAAAAGTCGAGCGAAATTTTAAGTTCAAACTTGAAAAGAAATATCCATACCTTATAAACAACTTGATATTTGGCTTGACTCGACTTATTTACACACTTATATGACTGCAAAGCCCCACCAGATGCAGCCTGTTCTATGTAAACTCAAAACTGACATGTGATGCTCCCAAAGGCCGCAAACAGATTAAATATAAATGCAGAGCCGCGTATGGCAGACAAAGAGATAGCCATTTCTCAGATAGAGTTCACACCCAGAGACAAAGCTGATAAGGTTTTTTTTCAGAATTTTAAATTTTAGTGGCCAGGGAAAAGATAGAAGAATATAACAAGAAAAGGCAACCCCAAAAGGAAGATGACTGAAATGGATTTCCTTTCCTTGTCGGAAAGCCAAGTTGGACTTTTGTGAAGCTCAAGCCACACAGAATTTCATTCACAGAAAGATTCACATGCACGAATACAAGTGGAAAGATAAGGAGGACAGAGACCCCTTACCACTCCCAGCATACAAACAATTTATGGGACATTATATTTCATCAAATTGGTTCTGTTTTTTTTCTTTCTCTAATTATTTTATGTCAAAAAGTCCACTTGGTGCACGTATGAAGTGGGCAGAACTTGACAGACTTGTACGTCAGAGATACCCATTTGATTTCCCACCATGTATTGATTTACAGATCATTCTGAATTGTTCTACTTTTTTCTGAATTGATACAGAATATCTGAGGAGAAAAATACATTGAAAATGAAAATAATAGTGATCCTCTTCCATTATTCAGCAAGGTGTAAAATGTAAATGATGTGGTAAATAAATATTGGCCTGGTTTACTCAGCTAATATAGAAATTTATGTAAATACATGTGACGGTCCATATACAGTATAAGAATTCATTAAAGCTATAACCTGTCAGACTGTAGAACTCCTTTTGCCCTGGAAAAATCTTGAGGAATTCTTCATGCATATGTTGGCTCCCAAGTCCCGAACATTTGAACGAACTTAATGCGAACCACTTCTTTGACCAATTGATTTAGGATCGAGCCCAAAATTTAGGAGCATTAAGCAGATAATAATAAGTACAGAGTAAGAAAGATCAGAAAGTTGAAGATGGACAGGACCTGCAAAACATGCAAGCAAACATAGCAGCATTAGATATTAATCCACAAAATTAACTCTAACCCAAGATCATAAAACAGACAAATGAACAAAGGGTATATTTTATTTGTACTTACATTATTTTTATTTGAGTCGGCAGTAAAGATTAGCTGAGGGAGATAACCCTTGAAGCCAATATCATAAACTGGGGTGCCATCAGGATAATAGAGCCCATAATTCCTCTCTGATGCAGGGCCAGGCTTCAAATCCTCATTAAAAAGTGCAAAAACATAAATGTCTATTGGAACAGAAGGCTTAGCCGGAGTTCCTTTCCTCTCTTCAAGTTTCCTCATCAAATTCCCATTGTACAACCCTGCATTCTCCGGCGTGGCTCCGGCCTCATTCGGATCCCCCTTCGAAGGCCAACCCGTCTCGGAGATTCGCACTTCGACATCGGTATGCCCCATTGCCTTGATGGCAGCATAAACAGCATCAATCTGAGCATCCAACATGTTGTCATAGTGCAGATTGGTAACTGAATCAACCATGCCAGAATTAGGCTGAAAAAGCACGTACTCTAATGGAACTTCTCCAGGGTTGTCCTTGTAAGCAAAATATGGATATGCGTTTATGAGAAAAGGAGAATTAACTTGTGCATGGAAACTGAGAATTGGCTGGATATACTGAGCAAGATCTTGCCTAAAACTCCCAGATGAAGGAGGGTAGGAGTTCCCCAAAATCGTAAGAGAATGTGCTGTTGTGACAGTAACTTGCTTGGAGAGCCCAAGATCAACAAGAGCTCCATGGACAGATTGCATTGCAGGGAGGAGATTCGACATGAGCTGAGTGTCGTTTCCGCCGAGGATTTCGTTTCCCACGGTGATGCAGGTGATTTTTGTCTGGGGAAGATGAGGCTGGACGTGCTGCTGGATCCAAGCTTGGGCCTTGAGAGGATCCTTCATGTTCTGCAAATTTTCGTTGCCGAGTCCTATGATGAAATCAACTTGTGAGTTTGAGAATGCTTGGAGGACGTTCGGGTCGGCGTCGTAGAGTTTCACTCTGCTGACGTTTAGAGTTTGGAGGAGGACGGAGACTCTTGAGGGAGATGGTAGGTTGTTGGCTATTTGTCCATAGTTGATCCCGAAGCTCAGGCTGAGGACATGAACAGCTGAATCTGAAACAGAGTTGAGAACAGAGTTGGTAAAGTTTGCAGCACCAAATGTTGAGCAAAATCAGATCCTAAATCCAATGCAATTAACGTAAAATTGAAGAGAATGGTTAAGTTTATGAAAACCCAATATAGATTAGTGATTGATGAATCTGAACTGATCTCAAAACAGAAAATAGCAAAGAAGATTGAATTCAATTGGATGGAGAGAAAACAGAGTTTCAAATTTCAAGTGTTTGATATATATATTTTTCTTTTTGTGGGTAGAAAGCGAAAAAGGAGATATATAAGACCCGGATGATAAGATTTTGTTTAAAGAGGACCCAGAAGGAAAATCTGGGGCTTTTAGCTGAAATTACCATCTTTTTCTTTTCCTGCACTTTGTTCGGAACCAAACTGGTAAGCAAGAAAGTAGTTTGAAAAAGAACAAACCTGAGAGACTAAGAAGGACCAGAATAATTTTGAATAGGACAGTGCAGCTTGCCATTACTGATCCGATCTTGGCCTTCACCTTCACCTGCTCCTTCTCCTTCACCAACACCCCACTACCCCTGTATCCCAAGAACCACGTACTCCACTTTTGCCACCTAACAATGCCCAAGATTTCATTTATATATATATATATATAGGAATGTGAACTTTGCATTTTTTTCTGTGTACCCCAAAAAAAGGCCTTTTTTTGGTCAAAGAAAAAAGGTTTGATTTCGTATACTCATGCTTTGTTTAGATTATGGTGGGTTTTTTCACTTTCCGCTAATATTTATTGTGTGTGTATATATAATAAAACCATAGAAAATCACTATGGTGCCAAATATGGATAAATCTGACCAAACACAACAACAAGTTGAATTGATATTACGCACAATCCATAAAGTGATAAAAATCTTTGATTCAGCAATTAAAAGTACACCTACTCAAACCTACAATATAACTCTGACGCGCAACAGCAGATCCGTATCGAAGGCCGAAAGTTTAAAAGAAAAAAAGTCTCCTAAAGAGAAAATAAAACACAACAAAAGTTCTAAAGAGTTCTTAAAATTAGGGAACAAAAAAACTAAGGAGTAGGAACACCGCTCCACCCATAGCAGCATACTAGCTAAACCCATAGTGTAGTATCGGCTAAACCTGAACGCGACTCAACTCGACATATTTCTCGCATTGCAGCTCCAAACTCATGTTGGAAGCTGACAACTGGAGTTAAATCCTTGTGTTCGTGACTCAAAAGATAACAATTATCATGATAACGATAACGTTTCACAGTGACTGCTTTCACACCGTAAAGTAAAATAATAAAGCAAAATAACGGAGAAAGGGAGGGAACGAGAGCAGAGAGGAGGGGGTAGGAAGGAAGGCCGCCGACCTCTGGGGTTTCTATAGTTGTTTTCTCAATATTTATTGTATTTTTATTCTTGTTTTATTTGGGTTTTATTTAATTATTTTTTTAAAAAAAATTGATAGGCATTTGTTTGCTTAATTAACCGACATGTAACTTACGTTTGCTTTGGTAAAGTTACTTTCCTATTTTGCAGAAACCTGAGTGAGAAAGTGTTTTGTTTCCACTTATGGAAAGTCAAGCTGCAACAGGAATTAGGGAAGTGGCCTCATCGCCATACCGTTTTCCTTGTTTCTTCTACTCATTTTCTTGTTATTTTTCCCATCCTCGGTTGTTCGGTTTGAGCTTTTAGAATACTCATTGAAGCAGCAGCTACGAAAATAGGAAAGAGGAACCTTTTTTTCGCGTTGCCTTTTGAGTCAGATTGTCTTTGCCTGTCAATGTGTAACTTGCTTGTAAGATTCCATGCATCTCAGGAAAATCTTTCTTAAGTTCATTGTATATACATTGAAACTTCATTACTTTGTTAGACAGAAGGAGGGTTTTGTTTTTCAACGGCGAAGTCATTGTGATGAGGTCAGAAATTAGGACGAAGGGCCCCAACCACCATGTGAGAGCTCTGCGCAGAGTCCATGAAAGAGTTGGACTAACTTAAGACAAACAAGGAATTCAGAACTAAAGTGGACAATCCAAAAAGCTTAGGGGCAAAATTTAATTAAAACTAAAAAAAGAAAACAGAGGGAAAGTGCAAAACAACTCCTTTGCATTTATGTTTCTGGTCAAAACTCCTTGGTATATGCACCGGTTGAGTGTTGAATTCAATAATAAGGTAGAGAATTAACTGAATTCCATGGGAAAACGATTCAATGATGCAAGCAGGTTTGGCAACATGTGCTTTCACGTTTCACCATCAGCGTGCTTGCTCTTATTCATCAAACTAATATACAAAACAGAGAAAGCCAATATGACAAGCAAGTAGAAAAATATATGTAAAACAAAAACCGTCATCTATGAAAACGATCCTTTGATCTTATAAAAAAGAAGAAGATTTATTGACTAACTAGCCTTTGGTGTAGTGGTACAAGTTTGATATCGAGATCTGATAATGTAACTTTATTGTGAGTATGTCGATCGTTATATAAAGATCTTGTAAACATCTTATCATTGACAGAAAAAATTTGATGTATAGAAAGTAAAAGAAAGAAAGAGTATGTAGTAATATCCAAAACATTATCTATATATTTTTAAAAAAGGGAAAATAAATGGTGCTCGATGAATCTCAGATTCTAAATTTTTTTTTTTTTCTTCTCTGATTTAATTAATCCTTTTAATAAATATATGCACCAGAAAGAATTTATAACAGGTAGAGACAGGTGTCAGCAGGGAATCTTTAATTGGGGGTATGAAAAGAAAAAAGGTGTGGTCTTGAAATGTGGCTTTTTATTACTGTTGTCCAAAAAGTGATACTGATATATCAGCCAACACCAGGCCGATGCAAATTATAAATTTATATTTATATAATAACAAAAAAATAATAATAATTATTTACTACGTATTTTTTTAATTGATTATTTAGTTTTAATAAATTAGATTTGCTGACGAGAATCTTACTAGAGCGCACGTTTTTACCACCGCCTTTCAGTGGCTTCCTCGCGTGCACCAGATAAGTCGGTTGACAGCTCAGCATTGGTGCGTGTCACGGTGCTTTTCCAGTTTTGTCTTGTTTTGTTTTTGCTGAGAGTGACTTTGAAATATAATTTCTTTCATTTATTTATTTGGTAAAAAATATCTTCTCTTTATTTATTTATTTATTTATCTACTTCTCCAGTTTGGCATTGCCTCCAATATCTGTTGACAGGAATATTCAAATAAAAAGGGAAAAAATAAAGAGATATTTAGTTATATACTCATTCATTGCACCAGTGATATAGATAAATCCTACACTATTTAATTTATATAAACAAATCCAAAAAAATCCAAAGAATGACAGATGGGCCTATTAAATTTAATTTTGATTATTAAATTACTTTTGATGTTATATTGAGTGTTTTGAGTTTTTTTAATGAGGTTTTGGGATTAGGCTTATTTTAAGAAATCAATGACAGTTTTGTAATTTATAAGTATCTTTGTTATATTGTAAATAGACTTCGTGTGTGTTCCTAAAACCTATTTAATGTATTTTTTTAAAATTTATAATTTAGACCATATATTAAATACAATAGTGAATCTACCAAAAATAAAAGAAACAGTTTTTCTTTTTGGGTGAAAGTGTATAACCATGTAAGACAAAATTTAAGTAAAAGGAAAAAAGTTAGCATGATGATCCATCCATGCATAATAACTTAAAGAGAGTACACCAAATTTTACCTTTCTATCAAAAGGCAAAAAACACACCAAATTTTCACCAAGTCCAACCTTCAAATTTTTTTTTTCATCATTTCAAAAGAAATCCAAGATTTTATTTGTAGTTCTCCAAGATGCTTTTTATTTTGCCTACTTGATTCCAAATTTGTATTTGATAAAATAAACAGGTATGATTCTCAGCAGACCAAATAATTGGGCCTGCCTAACTCTCAACCGAAGGAGTGAGACATTTTCCAGGTGTTCTTCAGATCATGGGAACTAATTTAGTCAACAAGAAAAGAAAAGAAAAAAATTCAAAACCTAAAAAGTAGGCTTCCCAATTTCTTTTCCTCTTTAATAACAGAGAAACGTGAGTTAGGTAAGTTAAGCTATCTCATTGCACTTAAGTTTGAATTGCATTTTCCGTAATTTAGTGTTGATTATCACTTGTATAAAAAAAATATTTAATGACAATAACTAAAATAATAAATAAATTGAGGGTACAGGAGCCTTGGATCTGCCGCCTCCACCTTTGGTATTGTTTCAAGGTTACAGGAAAAAATTGTTGAAGAACCGGTAGAATTTTTAAGACCTATTCCAAGGGTTCGCTACTGGATGGGCCTGGGGCACCCCACCAAATTTAGTTTGAAAGTTTAGGGCTCAAGCCCCATGGGCTGTTGCTTTGTGAATGTTATTCATTTGGATGGAAAAGTATCATTGTTCTGACATGTTGGTGTTCCAAGGTTCAGTTCTATATGTGTGTTTTTTTTGTCACAGAAATAAGATCGGAAGGAGGTCTACTTCTTGCAAATCATTGTTTGACACATATACAAAAATAATTTATCAATAAAAAAAATTCTCTACACACGTCAAATTGTGATTAACAAGAAAGTATAAGTTCCTACTTCTAGGAAAATAAAAGGGCTAACGACAAAAGACTCCTTGCTGGTTTGGGGTGGTTCTTAATATGGACCCTAGTGTATCAATTTTATCAATTTACACCCTTACGTTTCCAACATCATCTAATTTCATCCTTCTGTTAAGTTGATCGTTTGGTCAATCGTTAAATGATGACGTAACTACTGTGGGACCCACCTACTAACCAACCAGTTCCTAATAAAATGATAAAATAACATTTTTTTTTATAATTATAAAAAAAAAGCTTTAAAGAAAACCCAACCCCTCTCCTGCCCAACAAACCCAGTGCCCCTGTTCACCCCTTCTCGCCCCTCACCAACCCCAGCCCCCAACCTTCTTTCTGTCCGAAGATGATCTTCCTCACTCTGTCGAGATCAAAGAGCCTCCTGTCGTCGTAGGTGAATGACAACACCAGGAGGTTGTCGACGGTCACGTGCTCCAATATCGCTGAGATCCACTTCTCCAGCTTGGTCTTGCACGCGCTCGAGGCCTTGACGAAGGTCGTAGTGTTGAGAACACTCAGAAGAAACTATAGCACACAACCTTGAATGAAAAGTTCTTATGCTCATTGATAACAAATTGCTGGCTTATAAAGCCTTTTACAAAGAGATAAAATCAAAATAACAGCCCACGTTTGCAACACCCTAAAACGTGGTAACAGACTAATAGGAATTTCTTAAAAACACAAACAACTAGTCCCTAAATGATAGGACTTATTACAGACTGATTAGCTAAAAAATCTGAATAATAAACTCTTAACTCTAACAGTCTTATCATTCCCTCCCTTAAACTGTATGCAGAATGCATTTAGTTTATATTAGGAACTTCACACACGCTCAGCAAACTACGAAGCTTCAAAAACACCTCCAACCTGAGCGGCTTCGTCATAATGTCAGCTACCTGGTCTTGAGTATTACAATGACTCAAATCAATCACACCATCTTTTACCAGGTCACAAAGAAAATGAAACCTGATGTCAATGTGCTTGCTTCTGCCATGAAGAACAGGATTCTTGGAGAGTTTTATAGTTGAACTGTTATCACACAAAATTGTAGTGCATTTCTTCTGTACATAACCAAGCTTCTCTAAAACTCTTCTCAACCAAACACACTGACAAGCGCATGAGGCAGCAGCGATGTACTCTGCTTCAGTGGTGGATAAGCTAACCATAGGCTGTTCTTTGGATGACCATGACACTGCTCCAGAACTAAACATGAACACACTCCCCGAAGTACTCTTGCGATCATCTACATCTCCAGCAAAATCACTATCTGAATAGGCTGTGAGTTGCTTACAGCCTCCTTTCTGGTAGAAAATCCCCAGACCAGTCGTTCCCTTCAAATATCTAAGCAATCTTTTCGCTGCCAACCAGTGTTGCTCTGTAGGACACAACATGAACCTGCTGATAAGACTCACACCATACATCAAATCAGGTATGGTTGCAGTTAAGTACATAAGACTGCCAACCACCTGTTTAAACACACTCGCATCAACCTTAGCTCCCTTCTCGTCCTTTGACAATTTGCAACCTGGAACTATGGGGTTCTTCACCAAGTTGCTGTTGTTCATGCCAAATCTTTCTCAAACTTCATGAGCATACTTTCTTTGACTCACATAAATCCCATCAGAATTTTGTAGTACTTCAACCTCCAGAAAATATCTCATCTTTCCCAGGTCAGACATGTCAAATTCTAACATCATCGACTTCTTAAACTCTTCACACATGCTCATGTCATTCCCAGTAAAGATTAAATCATCAACATAAAGACTGACAATTAAGAGCTTACCTCCTTCATTCGACTTTGTCAATAGTGTGTGTTCACAATAACATTTTTCAAAGCCTTCTTTAGCAAAATAGGCCTCAATTTTGCTGTACCAAGCTCGTGGAGCTTGTTTGAGGCCATACAGTGCCTTATTTAGCTTATAAACCTTGTGTTCCTCACCCTTCTTCTCATATCCCTGAGGTTGTTGGACAAACACTTCCTCACTAAGCTCACCATGCTGAAATGCGCTCTTCACATCAAGCTGAAAAATACTCCAACCTTGTTGAGCTGCTAGGGCAATTATCAAATGTATGGTATCTAGTCTTGCAACTGGAGCATAAACTTCTGTGTAATCAATCCCATATTGTTGTGCATATCCCTTTGCCACAAGTCTAGCCTTGCACTTGTCTATCTCACCACTTTCATTAAGTTTTGTTTTAAAAACCCATTTAACTCCAATGGTCTTTACTCCTGCAGGTAGGATAGTCAAATCCCATGTTTTATTACGTTCAATAGCCTCAATCTCTGCATTCATGGCGTCTCTCCATTTCTTGCTCTTCACGGGTTCCTCGAAAGTAATGGGATCAGCTTCTGTGAGAATCATCATGGCACTCACATCTTCTTCTTCTGACAAACCCTCTCCGGTTTCATAATCTTGCATCCAAAATGGAGCTCGTCTTGCCCTCCCTTCAACTGGACCCGAGGAATTCCCATCATGTGACTCACTGGAAGGTGAGCTGGTGCCACTTGAACCAGCTTCATTTGTGCCATTTGAGCCAACTTCTTCATTCTCGTTAACTTCTGCTCCAAGTTCCCCTTCATTCTTAGCTTCATCATCTTCTTCTTCACTATCACCCCACTCTAACATATCCAAAGCCATTTCTTCCTTGCTCATGTCCCAATTTTAGCCCTTGTTCTCCTCAAAAACAACGTCCCTACTAACAATTATCTTCTTAGAGACCGGATCAAACAATCTATAAGCTTTCGACTCATCGCTAACTCCCAATAAAACACACTGAGTGCTTTTGTCATCCAACTTGATTCTTTTCTGGTCTGGTACATGCACATGAGCCAAGCACCCAAAAACTCTGAAATACTCTACTGTAGGCTTCATACCACTCCATGCTTCCTCTGGAGTTCTATTTTGCACAGCTAAAGTAGGGCACCTGTTGAGGACATGCACACATCATCTCACAGCTTCTGGCCAGAAAGCCTTTGGAACCTGCTTCTCAGTGAGCATACAACGCACCAAATTCATCACAGTCCTATTCTTTCTCTCAGTAACTCCGTTTTGCTGAGGAGTATAGGCTGTGGTTAATTGCCTGGTTATGCCATTTGCCTTACAAAATTCCCCAAACTCATTTGAGGTGAACTCACCACCTCTGTTAGTCCTCAAACATTTAAGGTAAGCACCTGATTCCTTTTCAACACAAGCCTTATAACTTTTAAACATGGTAAAAGCCTATGATTTTTCATGCAAAAATAAATCCAAGTTTTACGACTAAAGTCATCGATAAAACTTAAGAAATACCTCTTGTTGTTGTTTGATATAGGCTTTATAGGGCCACATATATCAGCATGTACCAGCTCCAACTTCTGTGACGCCCTCCATAGACTTCTTTTTGGAATGGATTCCCCGTGCTGCTTTCCAACCAAACACGCTGTGCATAACTTTGTAGGAGTTATAAAAGAAGGCAAACCACTGACCATCTGTTTGTATTGAAGGGTTCGCAACCCCTTAAAGCTTAAGTGTCCAAATCTGCAATGCCATAAATAACTCTCATCTTCTGTCACAGCTTGAAAACAAGTAGTAGCTTTAGGCATCATCGCTGCGAGCACAACAAACATCCTGTTCGCCCTCATCTTAGACTGAATGATTAGACCCTTACTAGGATGAAACACTTTGCACTCCCCATGTTGAATCAGAATTGCCACCCCTTTTTCTTGAAGCTGCCCCATACTTAACAGGTTATTTTTCAACTCAGGAATGTAATAGACCTCCGAAATTACCTGAGTGATTCCATTCACTTTCATTCGAACGTTTCCTTTTCCCACAACTGCCATCCTTGAGTTGTTGCCTAGTTTCATAGTTTGCCTGAATTGAACATCCAAATCCGAGAACCATTCTTTATTCCCACTCATATGATTACTACATCCTGAATCGAGGAACCAGATCTCTTCTCTCTTAGCATGGTTAAGCTCTACATAAGACATCAATAACAGCTCTTCTCCTTCATCTAATTCTGCATAGTTGGCTCCCTTCTCCCAACTAGGACACTCGTACTGAAAGTGTCCTAATTTGTGACACTTAAAGCACTCGATAGTGGCCTTGTTGAACGGTTGTTTGCCACGACCTCTTCCTCTTCCTCTGAACGTCCCTTGACCTCTTCCTCTGCTAGTGTTGTCTTCATGAGTGACCTTGAGAGCCTGCTCCTCTCCTAGATGGCCATTCATTCTTTGTTCATGGACCAGCAAACTGCTCTGCAGCTCGTCAATGTTCAGTGTGTTCAAATCATTGGACTCTTCAATGGAGCAAACCACATAATCAAATTTTGAAGTCATGGACCTCAAAACTTTCTCATTGATGGTGGTTTGGCTCATTGTCTCACCATGAGCCTTCATTTTGTTGGCTATAGTGAGAGTACAAGCAAAGAAATTATCAACAGTCTCTCCCTCCTTCATGTGGAGAGTCTCAAAGTCCCTCCGAAGTGCTTGCAACTGTGCCCTCTTCACCTTGGTAGAGCCTTGGTATTTCTGTTTCATGGAGTCCCAAATACTCTTTGATGTGTCTCTGTCGAGTATAGTCTCCATGATATTCCGATCTATAGCTTGAAAAAGGTAATTCTTTACCTTTAAGTCCTTCAGTTTCTGCCCCTCGACCAATTTGCATTGTGCTTGTGCTTGTTCTGTTTCCACCTCCGTAGAGACAGATTGTGTCACCACCACTGAAATCCCTTTCTCTACGAGATCCCAATATTCCTTGGAACAGAGAAAGTTCTCCATCAACATCACCCAATGATCGTAATGTCCGTCAAATTTCGGAATGGCCGGCTGCACAAAACCACTGCTATTGCTCTCCGCCATTCTGCTTGACTCCCTTACTCTGAAAGAAAACTGCGGTTTCTTTCCACACACACTCACAATCAGGCCCCCTGTGATGGGGCTCTGATACCAATTGTTGAGAACACTCAGAAGAAACTATAGCACACAACCTTGAATGAAAAGTTCTTATGCTCATTGATAACAAACTACTGGCTTATAAAGCCTTTTACAAAGAGATAAAATCAAAATAACAGCCCACGTTTGCAACACCCTAAAACGTGGTAACAGACTAATAGGAATTTGTTAAAAACACAAACAACTAGTCCCTAAATGATAGGACTTATTAACAGACTGATTAACTAAAAAATATGAATAATAAACTGTTAACTCTAACAGTCTTATCACGCAGATCTGAGAAGGCAGCAGAGGAAGTTTATCAGCAGCACCGCTTTCTCGGCTGCCTTTCTGGGTTTTGCCAATCGCAGGTTCGAGCCTTCAATGGTGTCGGCGGTGTCGCAACGAGACACCAAGAAGGATCTTAACCAAACTTGGCTGCGACCTCCATTATTTCCAGCGCTTTGTAGGAGTCATAGCCTCTAGCTCCAACATCCACATAAGTCACGGGCTTGCAGTAATTGAACAAATCAATAAACGAATGGAAACTAGAGGTGTCTTTCGTGCCGATGTGGACCACTGCAATCCTTTCAGGCTTTAGCGTCCGTACTATATCGGCGGTGAAATCTGTAGACTTAGTCAACTTCTCGAGTTTGCCGCCGGCGGAGAAGGTCTGGCTTGCCTGAGGTTGGCTCCATCTCTATCAAATATACATGTTTTTCATAGAAACAAAACGAATAGAGAATTCTGGGTTTTTCTCACGATTAATCAAACAATGTGTTGACGCTCGGTAAATACCGAGCCGAGCTGCCATATGAGATGCATACACTAGCGAGGAAGCCCGGCGTCGGCTCCTAGGGGACCCCCTGGCCGACAAGACCCGCATTTTGCGGAGCCGCCCATACCGTCTGTAACCAAACCCCGTCCCATCAAGACAAGACCGTCGTCATACCTGTAGACTGGAAACCCACTCTGTCCGCAACACCCCGCCCCTCTCCGTTGCAGGGACAGAGCACCCAGACCATCATGAGTTGTGCGCTCACAGGTCCCATCAAAAACCACTCACTGATGGAACTGATGGGACGCGCACGGCTCGGCTCCGAGCCCAGGCTCCCAACTTGTTAATGTTTTTAAAAGCCCCCTATAGGGGGGACCTTTGTACTAAGGGGCAGGTCAGCTCCCACGCAAAAATAGAAATATTGTGTTGTCCATACTAAACATTCTTGGAATCAACATTTGGCGCCGTCTGTGGGAAGACACACTCAAAGGTCACACGTTGACAACCTCACTACCACGATGCTGAGCCGAAAGATGAAGGGGTCTTCCACCCCTGGAACCCCCAGTCAAAAAAGCATAAAGCGCCGGAGAGCAGAAAAATCACGATTGAATGCTCTTGAAAAGAAAGTAGAACTGCTCCTGAATGAAACCGACGCCATCCAGGACCAAAACAAGACCCTCCGAGGCCAAAACGAGCATATCGAGGAACGGCAGATTGGCCTCCAGGCGAAACTGCGAAGGACCCAGAAGAAGGTCATCAGGGACTCCTGCCGCACCAGGAGGGTGGAACGTCGCCTATTCGGCGAAGAGACGGCGTCCACGCGGTTGCCCCAAGATGGCCACATCAGCCCTAGTAGTGCTCCGGCGGAAACCAGCCATGAAGGGGACTACTCCCGTGGAGGACCCGCCCCGTGGCGAGGAGACGAAGCCGACGCGGGCGCTGCCCCCCCGACGATCACCGACACCGAGCCCGACCTACGGGAAGCCATGAGGGCCATGATCAAAGGGGAAATGGGGAGTGTCTGGGACTGACTTGGCAAAGTCGAAAAAAACGCACCACCCTCTCGTTCCCCCTTTTTCCGAAGATGAAATCCCTCTCCCCTACACAAAGGAACTACTCGGCTCGGTGGTGATAGGTGACACGAAGGCCCCCAAGATCGCCTTTTACGAAGGACTTACCGATCCCTACGACCACCTTGACAGTTTCCGCTACGCCATGGAGGGCAGAGGGGTGAATGAGGCCACGAAGTGTCGGCTCTTCCCGACAACCCTGAAGGGCGTTGCATTGAACTGGTTCAAGCGACTGAGCCCCGAGTCTGTCGGCTCATTCTCCGAACTACGTCGGGCCATCCTGGACAGGTACATGATCATATCAAGCCGACTATACATGGCCAATTACCTCTCGGCCGTTCACCAGAAGACGAACGAGTCCCTCCGGGATTACATCACCCGATTCAACAATGAGTACGCCCGGTGCGAAGGATGTGATGAGGCCACCGCCCACAACACCCTCATGGGAGGCCTCTAGGGAGGAGATTTCTTCTTCCACCTCACTCGCAATCCGCCGGAGACGTATAAAGACCTCCTACGGGAAGCAACGTGTTACAGCCAAGCCGAACAACTCAATTCGGAGACAGCGACCCGGGACACTCCTGCCATCCCCGGGAACAGCGGAAGGGGAACCCTCAGAGAAAGGACCAGAACCGGCCGCTCATGAGGCGAGACCATGCCCCCGAGCGCTACTCAAACTACACCCCCCTCAAGACCAACAAAGAGGCCATTCTGGCCATCGCCGGGACTGAGCTACCGATCCTGCGGCAGGGTCGACACGAGTACCAAGGGAAGCGAGACAAAGCCCGGTATTGCAAGTACCACCGAGCATACGGCCACTCAACCAATGACTGTTACCAACTGAAAGACGGAATCGAGGCGTTGGTCAGGCGAGGGAAGCTACGGGAGCACGTAGCGGCACCACAGACCAACCCCGACCCCTCGGTGGAGACACCCCAGGCACCCGGTCCCAAAAGGTTAATATCCACAATCGGAGCAGGCCCCTCACCGGGCGGAGACACCAACCGATCTAGAAAGCGTTACGTCCATTTGCTCGGCCAGGAAACGAGCCATGCTTTCTCCATCGGTAGCTCCCCCCAACCCTTCAAACGGGCTAGAGCCGATCATCTTCACCTCAGACGATGGCCACACCTCTCAACCCCACAGTGACCCCGTAGTGATTACGGTAAGGATCGCAAACTGCGACGTAAACCGAGTCCTGATCGACGGGGGAAGCTCTGCAAACATCATCTTCGCGCCTGTGTTTGACAAACTCGGGATAGGTAGAGCCCTGCTGGACAGATCGACATCGCCCCTCTACGCTTTTGGAGGCGCCCGCGTGCAACCCCTGGGCAATATTCACCTCTCCCTGACAATCGGAGAATGACCGTGACAAGCAACCACCGTGGCCCACTTCGTGGTGGTCGATTGCCCTACCACATATAATGTAATTATGGGACGACCCGCACTTATCGACCTCGGCCTCACCATCAGCTATCGCACCCTCACACTGAAGTTCAGAACTCCCCATGGGGTCGGCGCGATACAGGGCGACCAGACTTCGGGACGAAACTGCTACGTCTCCGCCCTGAGAGGCAGAAATATTCCGGGGGAGACCCTCGTCGCAAGCGCCGGTCACCGCCCTCCTGAATACAACCCGACCAGCGGCTACCGGCCACGACGCCATGAGAGACCCATGACAATCACGGCTGGCATAGCTCGGAGGGACGCCCCCAACGTCTTGCTTGAGAAACGGAGCCCTGTGAACATCCTTTTTTCCTCGGCCTTGCCAGGGCTCGGGCTGGAATCCCGAGTGCTTTTCCCTGCCAACGGCCGGCTGTATTCTTTCGACGGAACGCAAGTGCGCGTCCTCGGCTACCTCAACCTCCTGGCCTCGATAGGGCTTCTCTCGGCACAGGCCGGGATGGTGGCATGCTTCTTGATAGTCGACCACCCGAGCCCATACCTAGCGATCTTCGGTCACCCTCTCTTGTGGACTCTGCGTGTCACTTTGTGTTACTACACACGAACGCTGCGCCTCCCCACGTTCCGGGGAACGACAACGATATTCGCCGATCACCAGGGAGACAACAACCCTGTGTGCACCCTCTCCGCCGAAGGCCCACTACTCGGGCCCATAGAAGACCCCCGAGAAGAATGCCCGCGACCCCAACCGCTTGAAGACCTGGAAACCGTAGTCATATCCAATGACCACCCGGACCAACCGGCCTCGGTCCCGCCGACCGCACCAGCCTCCTCGACTTCCTACGGAGCCACTCCGACTGCTTCGCATGGTCGCATGCCGATCTACCAAGGATTGACCCCCAGGTCATCACGCACTGTTTGGGTATCAATCCGGAAGCCCGACCGATCCGGCAAAAGCGTCGACCTTATGACAACGTTCGGTATTCCGCCATGAAGGAAGACGTGCAACAGTTGAAAATGGTCGGCTTCATCCGTGAAGTAGACTATTCGAGGTGGGTGTCCAATGTAGTTATGGTGAAAAAAACCCCCGAGAAATGGAGAATGTGCGTCGATTTCACGAACCTCAACAAAGCTTGCCCGAAAGACAGCTTCCCGCTCCCCTGGATCAACCAGCTCGTCGACGCCACCGCCGGTTTCGCACTCCTCAGTTTCCTAGACGCCTACTCCGGATAAAATCAGATCAGCATGGATCCAGCCGACGTCGAGGACACCGCCTTTATCACTGATCGAGGGCTCTACTGCTACCGGGTCATGCCCTGCGGACTCAAAAACGCGGGCGCCACGTATCAACGGCTGGTAAACCGAATGTTTGTGCAACTGCTAGGCCAGTCTATCGTAGTGTATGTGGACGACATGCTTGTCAAAAGTCACACCACCTGCCAACATGTCGATCGCCTTAATAAAGTATTCGCTATTCTCCGTCAATACAAAATGCGACTGAATCCAGCCAAATGTGTATTCGGCATCGAATTAGGGAAGTTCCTCGGCTTCATGGTCAGCCAGCGAGGGATCGAAGCGAACCCTGAGAAAATACGGGCCCTAATCGAAATGGTCTCACTAGCAAACAAAAAGGAAGTACAGAGCCTGACCGGGCGAGTGGCCGCCCTTAACCGCTTCATCCCGCAGTCCACCGACCGCTGCCTACCTTTCTTCAAAGCCATATGAGGGGCACACCGCCATGTCGACTGGACCGAGGAATGTGATGAGGCATTCCGGAAACTGAAAGAACACATGGGGCCTGCTCCCATCCTATCTAAACCCGAGGTAGGAGAGATGGAGCCTGCTCTATTCTTACCGAATGCGCCGTCAGCTCTATTCTTACCAAGGAGGTCGGCGGCTCCCAGCGAGTGGTGTACTACGTAAGCCGAGCACTCACAGAGGCCGAGACCCGCTATCCCCTCATCGAGAAACTCGAGCTGGCTTTAATAGTAACAGCCTGGCACCTCCGGCCTTACTTCCAAGCCCACCCTATCTCGGTAATCACCACTCAACCCCTCCGACAGGTTCTCCACCGACCTGAGGTGTCAGGTCGGCTCATCAAATGGTCAATCGAACTTAGTGAATTCCATATCGAATATCAACCCCGAACCGCCATGAAGGGGCAGGCGATAGCCGACTTCGTCTCAGAATTCACGCCAAGCATTCTATCTACAGAGCATCAGAGCTGGACGTTGCACGTCAACGGAGCATCCAACAGACACGGGAGTGGGGCAGGAATTGTTCTCTTGGCACCGGGCGGGACCGAGGTGGAATATGCCCTCCGCTTCCAGTTTAAAACAACGAACAACGAGGCAGAATACGAGGCCCTCCTCGCCGGGCTCCGGCTTGCCCAAGATCTCGGCGCCCAGGGCCTCGGAGCGCACAGTGACTCGTTGCTCGTCGTCAACCAAATCAACAATACCTACCAGGCCAGAGGCAAGCGAATGGGCCAGTACGTCAAGGAAGCACAGCGCCTGGCCTCACAATTTGTACACTTCGCCATCTCTCAGGTCCCACGAAGCCAGAACAGCAGAGCCGACGCTCTCGCCAAGTTGGCCTCGGCCCTCGACGGGGGCATCAAGCGGTCCATCCCCATCGAGTACCTCGCCAACCCTACTATCAGCGAAACGCCAACAGAGACCATGGCCATCGGGAACAACGATAACTGGAGACACCCATCTACGCATACCTCGCCAGCGGGACCTTTCCCACCGATTCTAACGCGGCATGCCGCCTACAGCTCCAATCCGGCCGATACACCATCATCAACACACAGCTCTACAAACGTGGATGGCCACGAAATCCTTCGGGAGGTGCACGAGGGTGTCTGCGGCGACCAATCTGCTTCCCGAGCAATGGCTTCTAAAGTCCTCTGATGTGGGTACTATTGGCCCTCTCTAAGGACGGATAGCCTTCAACTCGCCCGACAATGCCGACCCTCCCAACTCTTTTCCAATATCATACACCAACCCCCGGAACCACTCTCAAGCATGACCAGCCCATGGCCCTTCGCCCAGTGGGCCCATGCCCGAGGGCAAAGGACAAACCAAATTCGCCATCGTAGCGGTCGACTACTTCACCAAATGGGCTGAGGCCGAACCACTTGCCACCATTACCGAAGCCTGTGTCCGGAGTTTCGTATGGAAGAATATCATATGCCGGTTCGGGCTACCCCGAATCCTAGTTACGGACAACGGTCGCCAGTTTGACAACGCGCGATTCCGCGAATTCTGCTCCAACTTCAACATCGCCCTCCGCTTCTCCTCCCCAGCACATCCACGAGCTAACGGTCAAGTGGAAGCCGTTAACAAAATTATCAAGCGCACCCTAAAGAAGAAACTCGGCGACAAGAAAGGCGATTGGGCCGACCTTCTCCCCGAGGTCCTATGGGCCTATCGCACCACCCAGGGCTCATCCACGGGCGAGACCCCTTTCTCCCTAACCTTCGGGTCCGAAGCCGTAATCCCAGTTGAGATCGGTATACCAACGCACCGGGTAGCCTACTTCGACCCTAAACAGAACGGTGAGCAGCTCGACCTTGACCTCGACCTTGTGGAGGGCCGACGGACTCACGCCGAGGTAACTCTCGCCACATACTAGCAGCGCGCAGTGCGACACTATGATAAGAACGTCCGCCCTGGGGACCTTGTCCTGCGCGCCGTGCTACTCGCCACCCGGGATTGCTCGGCTGGCACATTGGGGGCCAACTGGGAAGGACCATATAGGGTGGTCGCCGTCGTTCGACCAGGAACCTACACCCTCACCACGCTCGGTGGGCAATCTCTTCCCCACCCATGGAACGCCGAGCACCTCCGTCAGTACTACCCCTAGAAATCCCCTCTTGTTTGTTTATTCGTTCGCCTGTTTGTCGAGCGACTGTTTTGCTTTGTTTCTTTGTTCTTTTGCTTTGTTTCTTTGTGTATCGTTTTGTTCCGAAGCACTTCTTCCATTATTGTTCCTCCCCCGAAACTGTCCGGTTCGCCTCGCTCACACTACAATTCACACACTAACAATCGCCATACAAAAAACCCACACAACTTAAATAAACAGATAAACAAACGCAAAAAACTCCTCATTACGAAATTACTCAAAATTATCCAAACTTAAAACTTGTCCAAACTTGTTCACTACAGACCGACAGGCCGGTTGGACTCTCAGGCATTACAAAAACAAACCATTCTCAGGCATTACAAAAACACAAGCACACCTTCAGGCATCACCACCCAGCTCTCGGAGCCCGGCCACCTGCTCAGCCCCGGGCACCGGCCCCTCCCCCACAGCCCCTTGCCCCTCGGCACTCGGCGTCGGCACTATGTCACCCTGGCCTGCACCCCCCTCTTCCTCCTCGCCCAACAGATCCTCCAGGCTGAAGACAAACTCCGGATAGCGCTTCTGGATTTTTTCCAACAAATCCAGGCCACCTGAGAGGAGTATCTCGCCCGCCAGTTCCACGCCCCCCTCGGACTCCAGGAAGCTCCTCACATCCTCCACTTGGGGCGTACATGCATTCTCCAAGGCCTTCTGCAGACACACGCTCTCCTCCTTCAATCGGGATGCTCTCTCCCTCAGCCTGTCCATTTCCTTCACCAGCTCGGCCTTTTCCACCTGGGCCACCCCGAGAGCTCACACGGCCTCGACCTCCTTTTTTGCGCTCTCATCTGCCATCCTCTTGGCTCGGTCCACCACGGCCTTCACCTCGGCATCGCGCTTCCTGGCCTCCTCCCTCGACCGTCTCAGCTCGGCCACCCGGGCAACGTCCTTCTCCCTGTGGATCATCACCCGCCGAACCGCCCCATAATGCGAGAAGAGCGCTTGCACCAACCACACAAGCAGCTGACCACACTACAGACAACAAAAAAAAAAAAAAAAAACTTTTTTTTCATTACCCGCACGCTCTGCTCAAATGCCATAGCCATCGACGTGGCATACGTGCTCTCGCCCCCCATCAACCCCTTCCAGGACATTTCACTCGAGATCACCATCCTCGCTGTATCAACGAAGTCAGCCAACCTCTCCGGATGTATGGTCGGCGTCGGCACCACCACCTCTTCCACGTCAGCCTCCTCGACCCTCGGCCTCTTCGCCCTGGTCGCCTCCCTCTCCTCCCCTGCCGGCCTCTTCCCACGGTCCTGCCCACGCGCCCGCCCCGGCGACCGCGCTTCCACATTCGGTGTCAGCCCTACAGGTGCTACCTCCCCCGCCAAACGGGCAGGCGCCAGCACCTTGGATCCCGACCCCGAGGCCCCCGTGCCCTTCTTCAGCAACTTCTCCAGCAGCTGTCGAGCCCTTGGGTCATTCCTGTCAATACCCATCGCTACACCACAACCGCATTCCATCCATCAGCATAACGCCAAACACCAAAAAAAAAAAGAAAAAAAAAAAGAGGGGTGTTGCCCCCCGGTACGAGACCAAGGGCCTTACCTTCTGGGATCGGATCCAGCAAACCAGACGCCCTCAAAGAACTAGGTGACAGCAGCTCGGTCGCGTCACGAGCACTCTCCTTCAAAGCCCAAATCACCTCCAACTGCCCCTCTCGTCCTCGGTTAGCTCCCCGCTCTCCCAGTCCACTGCCAGATCACACAAATTGGTTAGCCCGCACCCTGGTAAACAAAAAAATAAAATAAAACATGCAGCAAATTGGCCCCACATGCCGACCCCTATATAAACCCCACCTTTCTCCCTAAAACGCCTCGCCACCAACGCCCTCGGCTTCTCCACCCCCGCCGCCACTTCCCAACACCCAATCGCAAAAACCAATGATCTTTCCATTTTCTACGAACTAGGGTTGTTCTCCAATAATTTTCCCTGCAATGCCTGCAGATAGAAGAACCCCGCCTGCTTCGGGCTCTTCCTCAGACCATAGTAGCACCGCAAGATGTTCGTGCTCGGCTCGATCCCGTGATGCCTCTTCCAAAGCACGAACATACATAGGATCGTCCTCAGCAAGTTTCGGTTCATCTGATGAGGAGCGACGCCGAGGAAGGCCATCCACCTCTGCACGAACGGGTGCAACGGCAGGCGCATGCCGTTCTTGAACATCTCCTAGTACAAGGTCACCCACCCCTGGGGCGGTCGGCTTGGCCGGTTGTCCGCTTGCGGCAGCGCGAATACCACATCTCTCGGCACGCTATACTCCCGCCTGATCCTCTCCAGTAGCTCGTGCGTCATTCGCGTCGGCACCGTATCTGCCGACCACTCCCCCTCTTCGTAGTAGTATGGGTGCATGGGCAGCCCTCGCCAGTATGAGCACGACGCACCCCCCACACTTCGAGCGACGCTCACCCTTACGGGCACACCGTCCAGATCTATCCAAGCAAAGTCTGGGTCCTCGGCCTCTTCCTCCGCGGCCGCCCCAGCCTCGTGCTGCCCTACCTCGGCACCTTGATCACCACCCTCGGTCTGTTCCCCCTCAGACCTTTCGTCAGAACTCATCACCTCAACCACCGACGGCTTTTCCTCGGCCCCTATCCCTATCATTGGTCTGTCACCCAACTGATGCCAGGCCTCTTCCAACGCCCCAAAATTCATGCTACCCCTATCCGACCCACTCTCACTCGTCTCCCGAGACATCTTCACCCCGGTAGAAATAACAGAGGGTCAGAGAAACTCTCACCTGGCTTGAAACCGCCGTTCTCCCTCTGCCCAGCCTCTGCCTTGAAAACTCGCAGCTTCTCCTCCGCAGAAAAGAGGAACTCAGAATTCGCAGCCTCTCCTCGCTCAGCGATTCTCCGCGGAAACAAAAGTAACAAAGAACTCGAACTTACCCGCCTATATATATACACCTTAGCGCACCGTTGGATCCCCCGCCACGTGGATAACGCGCCTCGTTTCCCCCACTCGATGCGACGGCTCATGTCACGCCCTTTCCGATTCCCCGGGTTCATCATGACCCCTACATTCAATGCCACGACTCTCGAACTCCTGACACGTGTCCACTACGTTCTCGCATCTCGAGGCATCATCACCCTTCACACCCCGAGGCCGTAACAAGCCTGCCGAGGCCGCAGCAAGAAGAACCAAAGCCTACCGAAAGCAGCGCTCGACAGGTATCGAACGGGTAAAGAACACCGGGCAGTTAGGACAGGCGGACAAGTCCCCAAACAAGGGGACTCGCTCGGGGACTTAGGGGACTTGTTGACGCTCGGTAAATACCGAGCCGAGCTGCCATATGAGATGCATACACTAGCGAGGAAGCTCGGCGTCGGCTCCTAAGGGACCCCTTGGCCGACAAGACCCGCATTTTGCGGAGCCGCCCATACCGTCTATAACCAAACCCCGTCCCATCAAGACAAGACCGTTGTCATACCTACAGACTGGAAACCCACTCTGTCCGCAACACCCCGCCCCTCTCCGTTGCAGGGACAGAGCACCCAGACCATCATGAGTTGTGCGCTCACAGGTCCCATAAAAAACCACTCACTGATGGAACTGATGGGACGCGCACGGCTCGGCTCCGAGCCGAGGCTCCCAACTTGTTAATGTTTTTAAAAGCCCCCCCCCCTATAAATAGGGGGGACCTTTGTACTAAGAAGCAGGTCAGCTCCCACGCAAAATAGAAATATTGTGTTGTCCATACTAAACATTCTTGGAATCAACACAATGAATTCAATTTCTGAAAATTGAATAATCGTATTGGAAGAGGAGTAAGGTTAGGGATTGGTTTAGTGAGAGCAAAATCAAGCGGAGGTGTGGTTGGCTGGCAGGTTCTTTTAAAAGAGGGTTGCAGATCTTAAAATTGTGGTGCGGGGAAGGAGGATGGTCAAAGGGAGAAGCCATGGTTGGTTTTTCGGTTTTTTAAGTTTTTTTATTTTTAAAATTATGTTATTTTATCATTTTATATAATTTTTTAAGGAGTTGGTTGGTTAGTAGGTGGGTCCCACAATAGACACATCAGTATTTAACAATTGACCACACGGTCAACTTAATGGAAGGATGAAATTGGACGACGTTGCAAACGTAAGGGTGTAAATTGATAAAATTGATACCCTAGGGTTCATATTGAGAATCACCCCAAACCAGCAAGGTGTCTTTTGTCGTTAGCCAAAATAAAATGAACCAAGTCCTGAAGAATACAAAAAGGTGGTAGAGGTAAGAGCTAGACCTGGGAAAGAATTGGCTAGATGGTACATTTGCCCCTTCTAATTTTCCCATATTGGGGTTAATTCTTATATAAATATATATGCAATGGGGTCTAATCTAACTAATCAATTCTCTAGATATCAACACAAATATAATAATTGTAAAATCATAGAGAGAGAATATAAAAAATTGATGATTAGCATTTCACATGATTAATGAAATTTTAGTTTTCATCCCTCCTACTATAATGTGTATTTTTGGTGGTTAAAAGTACAATTTATATTAATCTTCTTGTCATATGAATGTAAATTGTACAAATTGTATTTTTGATGCCTCACTAATTCTTTAAAATAAAATAAAATAAAATAAAAACAAGTATAGCCGGGCGGCTGTACTATTTCTTTTAAAAAATTAGTAAAACCCGAGTATAGCCAGGCGGCTATACTTTTTCTTTTTAAAAAAAATTAGGAAAACAACGAGTATAGCAGCATGGCTATACTATTTCTTTAAAAAAAAATTTAGAAAAAACCGAGTATAACTGCTCTTAATTTTTTTTTAATTTTAAAAGGACCCTCCTAGTTGTATTAGTAAATATTAATTTGGTATAGCCGCACGGCTCCAAAGTTTAGCAACTAATATGTGAGAATTATGTGTATAATAATACGTGAATTTTGTGTGTATTATTGAAAATTTGTAAAAAAATACGTGTATTAAATGTAAAAATATGTATGTACATGATCAATACGAGTATTGTACGTTTGCTTTTTAAAAAATGTGAATTTTACCAAGTCTTTAAGATGTATACAAAACACGAATGCATTATTGAAAAATAGGTACGTATGTGTATAATATTGTATTAAACGTGAAAGTGCTGAATTTTTTATATGGGTAATAACTTTGGAAAAGTGAAAAATCAAAAGGGGATAATAGAGACTCGGACAATGGCCTAATAATAATGGATAATGCTCTAAACTACTCTTATCGAAAACTAAAATTTGGAAAAAAACCGAGTATAGCTGCGTTGCTATACTAGTTCTTTTAAAAAATTAGAGAAAAACCCAGTATAGCCGAGCGGCTATACTATTTCAGTTGAAAATTTAGCAAAACAGAGTATAGCCGCCGGCTATACTGTTTTTTTTCCAAAAATTAAAAAACCAAGTATAGCCGCACGGCATAATTTTATTTTTTTTTTTTTTTTTTTTTTATAAGAAAATTAGGAAGAAAACAAAGTATAGCCTGGTGGCTAAACTATTTAATTAAAAAAATTAAGGAAAAAGGACCCTCCTGGTTGCATTAGTTTATACTATATAGATATTAATTTGGTATATCCGTGTGGCTATACGAATAAAATACATATGTATTTTATTAGGCAAAATTTTGGCAAATTACAACTTCAAAGTTCGGCAACTACATAATATGTGAGATTTATGTGTATAATGCGTGAATTTTGTGTGTATTATTGAAAATTTTATAAAATATATGTGTATTAAATTTGAAAGATACATATGTACATGTTCAATACGAGAATTGTAAGTTTGCTTTTTAAAAAACGTGAATTTTACCGAGTCTTTAAAATGTATACAAAACAAGAATGTATTATTGAAAAATAGGTACGTACGTGTTTAATATTGTATTAAACGTGGAAGTGCTAAATTCTTTATATAGGTAATAACTCTGGAAGAGTGAAAAATCAAAAGAAGACAATAGAGACTTGGGTAATGGTGTAATAGTAATGGATAATGCTTTTAAACTATTCTTTGATAAACGAAATTGGGGAAAAACTTGAGTATAACCGCACGGCTATACTATTTCTTTAAAAACAATTAAATAAACCGAGTCTAGCCTCGCGGCTGTACTATTTAAAAAAATTAGGAAAAACCGAGTATAGCCTTCTTAAAAAAATTTAGAAAAACCCGAGTACTATTTCTTTTAAAAAATTAGAAAAAACCGAATATAGCCGCGCTATTAAAAGATGATGAAGCAAAATTTATTGCCGTTGCATATTTGACCTATAGATAAGGTTATGTACAACAAAGATAAAATGGAGTAAGAAGGTCAATTTAATCTCAAGTAGTTGAGACCATTACTCATAAGAATAAAGAAGTTGATGTCTTACGCCCGAAAAAGATGCAATCTTTGAGCATTTGAAGACCTATCAGATATAGCTAATTCCGTGAATAATTTTATGACATGTTTACTAATCCGATACGGATTAGGAGGAGTTGGATTGAGGAGAATTAGATTTCGAATTCCTATTGAAGTTGTTTACTAAACCATATGGAATTTGGGTAGGAGTGGTGCTAAATGTCCTCGTTGTTGGGTTAAAGTAGATGGCAAATATGAAAATTTTAAAATTGTGGGAGCATATAATAGGTAAAAAAGATGAATTCATAATGAGTTAGTTCTCCAGCAATTAGAATCTCATCTCCCATCCAAGAATTGAATTCCTCCAAATTAGGAATTGAGCTCCACTTACTTTTTAATTCCTTGATATGAAGTAAACGCAAAAATCCTCCATGATTGGAATTCAAATCCAGATTCTAATCCCAATTCCTGATTAGTAAAGACACCATTATTAAAAACACTTGAAAACTACCAGGTGGAGAAAAACCATAATTGATTCTATCAATTGTAGCATATGAAAGTAAATGCAATTCTATTGTATTATTCCATCAAGTTCACACCAAATTTGTGGTTGATTTTGTAGTTCTTGATTATATACTATTTGTACATTTTCGACATTTTCTATGCAGAAAAACTTGTGTGAAAATGAGGATACCATTGTTTTGCTATCCCTAACCAATCACAGATTGCCTCGTAAAAAAAATTTCACGCATGACATGCTGTGATTGATCGGAGATAGCAAACAATGGCCTTCTCCCACTAAAGTTGCTTTGGTTGAACAACTTTTTAAGAAAACATAGATCAATCAATCCATGAGATGGGTGATTTGTTTAAAATTGTTTAGAAGGTCGGGTCGAATAATTTAATAGAGAATTGTGTTTTGTGTGAACAATTAATTGAGAAAAACTTAGTTGCAATGGAGATAGCATTGTTTTGCTATCCCAGACCAATAATGTCAGGCCATGTGAAAGTGTTATTAGGCATATCAAAAAAGTCAAAAAGAAAAAACAGCCCATCACTAATAGGTACAAGACCTCAGCCCAACAGAAGTCAAAAAAGAAGCACGTGAAAGTGTTATCACGCAAAAGGCACTACCATAGTCCAAGAAGCACGTGCAAAGAGCACTTTTGAAGCATCCTCGTCTATGGAGCCGAGGAGCAGTGGCTGGTGGTTGAGACCTTGGGCATAATTTAGGCATAATTTAGAGAAATTTAAATTGAGGGTGAAGAGAAAAAAGTAGAGAAAACAAAAAGGAGACAAAATCTCTTGATCTGAGACAAAGCTCAGGGACAAAACACCCATGTTGGGTGTGGAAAATAGTCCCGCCTTGGAATTCTTTCTCCAATTAATCTGGTGACAACATAACTCATTTAATTGGTGTGAGGAGAAAATCTAATGATTACATAACTTACTCAATTCGTGTGAAGACAAAATCCAAGCAGAATATCAGAAATAAAAAGTTCGTACCGAGAGTATTATTAGAAGCCAATTTAAGGGACCACTTTTGTTTTTTTATGTTTTTAATCGAAAGATACTTCCATAAAAAGCCAAAAAAAGGGCCAACCATTAACAACAAGAGAGAGCCCAACCATAGGGGGGAAAGGAAAGGCAAAGAAAGACAAAACAGCATAAGAAAAACCAACAAAGAAACGTAGCACCGGATCCGCTATAAGGCAAAAACTAAAGGGGAGATAGCAGGCCATCACTTGATAGGACAGAAACCAAGGAGGGTGGGGGAGTATTAACCCAATTGCAAAGGCACAACCTCCTTTTGGCTAGCTTGGCGGCGGTATCAGCAGCTCCGTTAGCTTCACGACGAATCCAGTTCCAATCACAATGGCTGAAAAAAGCCTCCAAACGTCGAAACTCAACAAGAAAGGTATAAAACCTCCAGTTACTATTCGCAGAATCACTCTTTACACAAGAAAAGAGCTCCAGACAATCGGTTTCCACCACCACATGATGTAAATGCATGGAGGAGGCAAAGGAAAGGCCCACGATCGCCGCCTGGGCTTCACACTCCGCTGCAGAAGAGAGATTACAGGGCTGAATAGTGGCACCCACGAAAGCTCCATTATGATCCCGAATAACCACGCCAACACCACCCACGCCAGACTTGGCCTGCCATGCACCATCAATTTTAATTTTAACAAAGAGAAATTGAGGAGGGGACCAGTGCACTCCAGGGGGAGCACCACCGTTAGATAGAGGAGCACGAGTCGCCAAATCCTTTGCCAGAGAAAATTCCTCCAAAAGGCTGATTGCATGGGAGAGAACCAGAGTAGGAGAGGGCCTGAGATCATTAAATAAAGCCTAGCAGCATGCCTTCCAGATTTCCCAGGAGCAGAACATGAAAAGGGAGATTCCTCAATTCCTTTCATCACCATCGGCAAAGGTACCACTCAGAAAACCAAATAACTAGGAGTCAAGGGTGGAAATCGTTGCCAAATCAGGAGAATACCCAAAAGGGCTGTATAACCAAACTGCCCGTGTCCAAGGACAGAGCAGAAGCATGTGCTCCACTGTCTCAGGAAAAAGGCCACATAAGCGACAGATTGGAGAGAGGGAAAGCTTCCGCTTAAAGAGATTGGCGCCCATGGGAATGGAGTTCGAGATAGCACGCCACATAAAGTTACGGATCTTAGGGGTGGTACGAAGCCCCCCATATCACGCTCTAAATCTCCTTATTCACTACATGGGAAGTATAAGCTCTGTCCCTAGAGACGGGAGGAGAGTCCCCAATGACATGATAGTAACCAGATTTAACCGAGTAGTCCCCGGATTTTACCTCGGGCCAAATCAAGCGGTCACAAGTGGAAATGGTGCCAATGAGAGTGGCACGAATTTTTGCAGCATCACAAGGTGGGATGAAAGGTTCAATATGAGAGATGTCCCAAGTACCGCTGTTCGAATCTATGATATCGGACACAAGTAAAAGGGTGAAACGGTTATTGGTGGGGAGAGGGGTGATTTTTCCCGAGCCTTTGCCAGTTAACCACCGGTCCTTCCACACATCCACCGAAAGGCCATTACCAATTTGCTATGGGCACCTGTTGCAATAATTTCCCGACCAATTAAAAGACTATTGCAGGACCAAGACGCACGACCGCCCTTTTTTGCATCAAAGAAACTGCAATCCGGATAATAATGAGCTTTCAAGATTCTAGCCCAGAGGGCATCAGGGTTGCGTAAGAGTCTCCAGCCTTGCTTAGCGAGTAAGGACTTATTAAAAGGGTGTAAATCACGAAAGTCCATGCCTCCTACTGCCTTAGGGGTGCAAAGCTTCTTCCAAGAATGTTAATGAATTTTGCCGTGTTCTCTATTGTGACCCCACCAAAAACTTGTCAAATCGACATTAATTGCATTACAAAGAGTGATTGGCAATGAGAAACAAGACATGGTATAGGCAGGAACAGCAGTAGCAACTGACTTGATTAGAACCTCCCTGCCCGCCTGAGATAAGAAATTTTGTTTCCAACCCGCAATATTTTGATTTATTCGGTCACGAACATAGGCCAAGGCAGCAACCTTTGAGCAACCCCAAAAGGTAGGGAGACCAAAATAGGGCCCAGGATCACAGGTAGCAGGAATCCCAAAGATATTGCCACAATTGTTTCTAGTTCCTTTATCAGTATTGGGTGAGAAGTGTAGGCTAGATTTGAGAGAATTCACCTCCTGACCCGAGGAGGCACAATAATAATCCAGAATAGCTTTGAGGGCAGTACAATTTGATGGACTAGCCTGCAGAAAAAATAGAGAATCATCTGCGAAGAAAAGGTGGGAGAGTCCTGGACAACCCTTGCTCAATTTGATGCCCTGGATCACACCCCTGCTCAATTAAGTGAGACTACCTCAGAGATTAGAAGAAAGAGGTAGGGGATAGGGGGTCTCCTTGCCTTAAGCCTCTAGAGGGTGAAAAGCGATCGCCGAGGGAGCCATTCAGAACCAAGGAGAAGGAAACTGATTTAACATACATCATGACCAGAGAAATCCACCTGTTGTCGAAACCAAACTGACAGAGGGTGGCCTCCAGAAAATCCCATTCCACGTGGTCATACGCCTTGTTCATGCCAAGTTTCAAACCCAGTTCAAAAGCTTTCCTGGAGGTTTTGAGTCGTAAGTAATGGAAAGCCTCATGGGCCAACAGGATATTATCCTGAATTTGCCTTCCTAGGACAAAAGTATTCTGATGTTGGCTAATCAGGTTTGGGAGAAGGGGCTTAAGACGATTTGCTAGGAGTTTCGATAGGATCTTGTAGGAGTTTTTACACAAACTGATTAGTCTGAATTGGTTGACAGAGGTCGGCTTGGGAACCTTCGAGATAAGGACAATGTGCGTGTGATTAAGGAGATCCAGGTTGCAATTTTCGGAGAAAAATTCAGTCACCAAGTCGTTTATAGAGTGCTGAACAATCTCCCAGAAGTGATCATAAAAAAGACCAAGGAACCTATCCGGGCGGGTGCTTTTAGCGAACCAAGCTGCTTAACCGCAGTTCGGACCTCCTCCACAGAGAAAGGGTCAGTTAAACAGGTATTTGGGCATCAATGATACTACGATGAACGCACTGAAGAGTACTCCCCCAATTTCTAGGACCCTGAGACGTGAAAAGATTGCCAAAAAAGTTACCAAACTCATTCCTAACGGCCTGGTCCTCACTGATACAAACACCCTTAGAAGTCAGTAGAGACTCAATACGGTTGTGTTGTCTATGATGAAGGGTAGAGAGATGGAAAAAAATTTGTGTTTGTGTCTCCTGCCGTCAACCAGTTTACACGAGAACGCTGTTTCCAATAGGTTTCCTCTCTACTCCACAAACAGGACAGTTCATTCCAAATAGCAGCTTCCTGGTGTCGAAAGTTATCTTCATGCTCACCAGACTGAAGGGCCTCCAGATCCTTCGTCAAATAATTAATGCGAGAGATTATTTGGAAACTTCCTTTTGCTCCAATTCAGAACTTCATACCTGCAACCTCCAAGGTTAGCCGACAGAGTAGATAAAGAGTCCCCATTTTGGTCACAGTTCCATCCCTTTTGAATAATCGAATCGCACTCAGGATTGTCAGCCCAGTATGCTTCGAACTTGAAATTCTTCCTTCTCCTCCTGACTCTGGGAGCGAAATGAAGCACGAAAGGAGAGTGGTCAGAGCCAATCCTAGGCTCAACATGAACGCAAGAGTCCAGCCACATGTAAAGCCACGGAGCGTTGATAAGCCATCGATCCAATTTTAATATAACCAGGGAGGCACCATCCTGTCTATTTTCCCATGTGAAAAATTTGCTAGTGGATCTGAGGTCCAGTAAGCCATTAGTGTCCATAAAAGAACGCAAAAAACGGGTGCGACACCAAGGCCACGAATTGCCACCTTCCTTCTCGTCGTTTCCCAGAATCTCATTGAGGTCCCCAATATAGAGCCAAGGGGGAGAATTAACCAGTGCGAAATTGGCCAAATTTGCCCAAAAAATAAGTTTCTCCTCCCGATACGAAGGGCCATATATCCAAGAGAACCGATAATGAGTACCATCGTCCCTATTCTTCACAATAGTATCAATTAAATTCTTATTAGAGGCAAGAATTTCGACATCAACCTCTGGTCTCCACCAGAGAGTCAAACCACCCGCAAGACCCACGAGGTCAACACAGAAACCCTTGAAAAATCCTAATTGTCTCCTGAGCATAGACACTCTATGGTTGTTCTGTTTAGTCTCCATAAGAAAAACCATAGAGGGGGCATGAGAGCGGATAAGCTCCCGTAGTTTTTGGACTGTCAGAGCACGCCCCAAGCCTCGACAATTCCAAGAGAGATGGCTCATTGAGGACTTGTGGCTGCCTTGGGTGACAGGATCCGCCCATAATTCCTCAAAACCCGAGACGAATCCTGTGGAAATTCCAACATCACACCGATGCCGGGCCCACTTACTAAAGACCGAGACTTTCTACCTAAATTTTGGCAGAGTCTCCCCTGTAAATTGAATAATCCCAAAAAATTTCAACCTGCATAAAACACATTTAATATCACCAACCGGCAGCATGCACAAGATAATTTCATGAAATTCACATAATTGGCCTCCGGCCTTCAAGTAATCCGAAACAAAACTACCAACAAAGCTCTTAAGTCAAATAATACCTTAAACAAGACAAATAATAAACTCAAACATAATTATGAATGCCAAATGCAATTTACATCATCTAACTTCCCAAATATCCAACATACGAGGTTTTAACCTCCGAACACAATCGCAAGTAGTTTAAGGCCTTAGCCCAAATCGTACAACAATCCAAAACGATTTTTATACCTGTTTTGACCAGAACACATTTACACAATCCTCGCTCAGCCAAACGGGAGTATGAACAATTATTTAATCGCATCTAGTTTTCAACCGAATTTCAAGACAAACGACAAGGTCAAAACCAATCTCAATAAAACAACATAACTAAAATTTAGTCCACGACTGCACCTGGGTGGGACCCCAGGCTACCTACGTATCCTTACTAAGAGATCAAGCCACACGTAGTTCTTCCAACAGAACCCCGGTTCCAATAACATACAAACCATTACAGCGATACAAAGTAGTAAATTATAGTATTATCCTTTCTTTTCCTTTTTCTTAAAACCACCTCATACCAAACATAAACCTTTATTCATATTCTTCTCATATGCCGGAAATTCCAACGCCACATGTGAGACTTAATAATCACATATTCTTCCCATACACCGGAAAATCCAATGCCATGTATGGGAAGTGTCTCACATGCCGGAAATTCCAACGCCACGTGTGAGACTAAATAATCACATATTCTTCCCATACGCCGGAAAATCCAACGCCACGTATGGGAAGTGTCTCACACGCCGGAAATTCCAATGCCACATGTGAGACTAAATAATCACATATTTTTCCCATACACCGGAAAATCCAACGTATAAGAAGTGTCTCACACGTCGGAAATTCCAACCCCATGTGTAAGACCTAATAATCATATATATTCTTCCCATACGTTGGAAAATCCAACGCCACGTATGGGAAGTGTCTCACACGCCGGAAATTCCAACGCCACGTGTGAGACCTAATAATCACATAATCTTCCCATATGTCGGAAAATCCAATGCCATGTATGGGAAGTGTCTCACACGCCGGAAATTTCAACGGCACGTGTGAGACCTAATAATCACATAATCTTTCCATACACCGGAAATTCTAATGCCACGTATGGGAAGTATCTAGTATCTGAGGGATGGCACTCAACCAATACAATCCGTATTCCGAATAATTATAAGTCTCAAATATCACAATAATAATATAGATAATCACAATTTAGCGATACAAGTCTATAGTAAAATGCAACATAATTTAATCAAATAATATTAATTAATGATAAGCAACAACCTTTAAAGGAAATCCCATATCGTACCAATTTCCAATTTAAACTCAAATAACAATTAAGGCTCGTTTACAAGGTTATCCTACTTACTTTTCGAAGGGTGAAACTACCTTGAAAGACTCACGGTCAACCGAGAGGTTAAACTATCCAAACTTGGTCGACCGGGCCCGTAGGGCCCACCACCTCCGTTTTATGATCCGAAAGTTTCTAAGGGTTCCACAAGGTCTTGGATACACGTCCTGCAAGTTTGGTCCTGATCGAATGGTCGGATCGCTCACAATCGCACGATCGGATGGTCATTATAAAACACAAACTTTAAGTTATTGAATCGGAACATCCGAGGCTCCAATTCACGATCTGCGAAACCCTATACGATCCTAAAAATACCTAGATCAACATATATTAGAATGGAGTCGATCCAGCGGTCCGAACCTATCGAACCTCGATTACATACAATAGGCAAAATCAGTTCGATACTCAAACGATATCCAAATTGAAATCCGAGTACACCTATGCGCTTTTGAGGACCAGGAGATCACATAGGGACACAATGCCCTTTTTCTACCGTGCCCACGAGCCGCTACTCATGCTGGTAACGCGTGGGTGTCCAAAGCAAAAACACTTCGCCGGGAAATCTCAAAATGACTTAAGACTTCTAAACCCTAGGTGTAAAACCCTATTTGGAGTTACTTTTGTTCTTGGGCGTATCCCAAAAAGTGACTAGAAGTGGTCGGAATCGTGATCCCAAAACTGGCTGAAATCCAATTCGAAAATCAAGCTACCTAAGATCAAATTGATGCAATCCTATCCAACCATTAGCTAGATCATGAAAAATAGGTGAAAAAGCATACCTCACTCGTCGGAAACGGTGGCCGGATGACGGAGATCAAAGCCGGTGAAAAACTGTCAAAAATCGATGACTTTTAATGGCTTTTTCCGGCGGATTCCAGCTGTGGCTGACGTTGAAGAGGGTCGGGAAAGGCTGCTGGGTGACGGCGGTTCGAACCTGACCAGTCTGGTGGGCGATGGTGCTCCATGGCAGCAGCGGTGGCCAAAAGTAGTCGTCAGTGAACAGTACGGGGGAGGGGGGGGTGTCGTGCAAACCACAGAGAGAGAGAGAGAGAGAGAGAGAGAGAGAGAGAGACTGCACAGGGAGAGAGAAAAATGAGGGTTTTCAGACTTTTATCAAACCCTTTTCACAAAAAATTACGGTTATGCCACTGAGGGTATTTTGATCGTATCTTTTTCGTTACAACTCCGATTTGAACCCACTACGTGTCTACGGACTCATCTCGCCGTGCTCTACACAATGGTATAGTTTAAATTCATAAATTCCTTCCCAGTCAAAAAGTCAACTTTAAACCTAATAAAATACTTCAGGGGCAAAATGATCTTTTATCTGAATAACTTAATAATTAAAAGTTTATTTAGGATCGGGTCGTTACATTGGGCCAGCCACCATAACCCTGGAGGTGGGATTGCCCCTACACATTTGGTTCCGAAACTTGGGGAGTAGTCACCCTGTCGACCACAGGGAGCTCCTTAACGAATTCCACCTGTATTTCCTTGAAATTACTTAGGTTCATAACATAGGGGGCAGAGTCATCTCCGCATGACCTCCCCCTTCTACCTTAGCACATGACCCCTTCCTCTATTTCCTCTTACTCAACCCCTGCCTCGGTTCCAATTACCCCCGACTTGAGTTAGGACAGCCACCAGCCCATAGGAATTGGCACCGATAGTATCATGGTCATGCAGGATGCGGGCCTTGCATGTCTTAAGGCTCTCCTCGTAAGGGTGAGAGACAACACGTCTTTTTGTCGAGATTGGTGGGGAGGCAGCCTGTTGAAAAGTGTAGGAGTCGGGAAGGGCAGAGATAAAAGGTTGACAACCCAAGTCCGTGTGCATTGGGCCCTTTCCTTTTCATGATGTCTCAAGTGGGCCGCAAGAAATCTCACGAGATTGTGTCAAGGGCAAAGCCATCTGAGCCCATGGGTGTCGAGATGATGGGCCAGAAACACATAAGGCTTTGTGGGTCAATTCAGGACAATTGGTTGGGTTCGACTTATGCTCAAGCTGGCATTTGGAGGATTAGGCCTGGTTTGTTGGTGGGTTCTACCCCCTATAAGTGAGCGCCAAAATCATAGCTCGTTCGTAGGCATTGGAGCTGGGGCAACCAACGGGTAAAAACCGTTGTCTCAGCTCCTCAGTACTAGGGGACACAAGGGTTCGAGGCAACAACCTATTCAAAATGTAGGCATTAAGGTGGCCATTTGTTGCTGCATCAGTTATGTTAGAAGGCGTAGCAGAAACAATGGCAGATTGCTCAGTGACAGCGATGATAAGGGGCACAGTGGTAGTGTTGTCGCCATCAAGTGAAAGGGACTGTTTCACAAGTCGTTCAGGATTTGTGGTCAACGGTTGCAGTGTGGCCTCCACCAGGTTTGTTGTCGTCGCATGATCATTTCTTGTGATTCGTGCGGACGGGGGTCTCCGTCGGCCAGCACGGTTTAGTTGCTCCAATGGTAGAGGGGGTAGACAGGAGGTAGGCGTCGTTTGATCCACGGATTTTCCGACAAAGTTCGACTGCTCTCCGAACTTCCCTTGCAAGCATTCTCACAGTGCCCTAGCAACCCACAAACATAGCAGAAGTCACCAAGGCCTCCATAGCAATACTCCACACGGAAAGATTGGTGAGTGGATCTGGGGAGCCAGAAGTCGGTAGGGAAGGGTTTCCGTGAGTCGATGAGAACTTTGACTCTGAGAAAACCCCTTGTTATAGCCTTTCCCATAACTGGATCTTCCACCTCAAGAACTGCTCCAATTTCTTCCCCTATGATTTTGGCATTTGTGGCATTCATCTTCTCCAAAGTCAGACCTGATACTTGGACCCAGTAAGGGATAAGGTGTACAGGGACCTCTTCAATGGTTAGTTGGGGGGGCCAAGCCACCACATCAAAACAATAATTAATGATGTTCCAGGGAGCACCCTCAAGAATCTGGGAAGCCACTTCGCTGGAAGTGGAGATGGTAAAGATGTTCCTTTTGTAGTGGGAGATGGAGAGAGCTCCCAAGCTGCTCCATGCAGATCTAAGGGCTCCTTTGATCCCACCAATGTTTGGCACCACATCAGCAATGATCGCCCCCACAAGTATTATTTCTCTTTGCACGTCGTCTAGGTCAAAAGAATCCTCCGAACATGAGGCCAGAGAATCCGCAGTTGGGTGTGCATTTGTCATTTTGGGATACCAAGAAGTCGGAAGGGAAGGTAAAGAAAGGGGAAGCCGGGGGACAGAGCAGGGAGGCACAGAAAGGAGGGAAGATGGTTAAACTACCATAACTAGGTAGAGCAAAAGTAGTAAACTACCACATGGGTAGAGCTTTTTGATATGGGATTTTTTACATGACCTAAAAGAGTGACCGTCGTTCAAACCTGGCATGTTCTATTAATTGGCAAAAAACTGGGTCAATGCTCTTCCTTTGGAAAACAAGGAGCGAAATTGCGCAAGAATTTCCCTCCCATGTGAAAAGCAAATTTAATTTGTGAATTTTTCTACAAACGCTTTGGGACAGGTCTTGAATCTATCCCTTGAATAAGAACTGAATTAAAGCGCCACCTACAGAAACCAATTCGGCAACCATTAACATCTAGATGCACTGCCATTCCACAACAAACCCCTACCAAAATAGAACAACGAGAAGGTCTACGAGAGCCTTGACAACATGAGATGCATAATAAATCTAGCAACACTTCCAAACTTTCTACTTAATTCCAACAGCAAGGCACCTAATATAGCTCACTTTCCTTGTGAGTGTGAATCACAGCATCTGAAGTTGGGTACGCGACACAGGTCAGCACATAACCCTCCTTCATTTGATTGTCATCAAGGAACGAGCCATCGGACTGGTCCACTGAACCTGCCACCAGCTTCCCTGCACAGGTAGAGCAGGCCCCAGCCCTGCAAGAATATGGCAACTCAACTCCTGCATTCTCAGCTGAATCTAAGATGTATGCATCATCTGGAGCATCAAACTCGCACTCCACACTGTCTGGTCCAACCAGCTTGACCTTGTATACTGCCATTGATGCTCGGAAGTTGGAGGATGCTTTCAAGCCGAAGGCCTTGGAGATATTCTTCACAGATCCAAGAGGAGATGATAACTTAACGATAGAACTGGTGAAACGATTCTGGGGTGTATGTCTGAACATGCATTGGGATGGAATTCGCAAAGTTGACATGGTTGACATGTTTTGCCCTGAAATCAACCAACAACATTTCAAGACTTTTAATAACTACCAAAAAGAACACTAACAAAAGAGAGAACAGCAAAAAGAACACTAACAAAAGAGAGAACAGCAAAGAGAACACTACCCAAAAGAGAGAACAGCAAAAAGAACACTACCCAAAAGAACATTTCAAGACTACACTTATGAAAGAAACAAAGTTGTGTTACCAACAATACAAATAATGGAGAACAGCAAGGCAATTTAACACCAAAAGATGACAGCAAGGAACTTTACACAATAGAATTTTCATTAAAGGGTGGAAAACAATTCAAAACCTTGATCCAGTTTTATCTTACCACAGACATGAGCAAACCAAACCGGCCCCAGCCTAGCCCTAAAAAACTATACCGTGATCCAAAACTTGCATCTGTTATATGTTAGCGATCAACATTATGCAGCAGAACTTTCCACGACCAGCTATTTCATTATTCTCCATATAGATTAACTTGAATTTCATTTCAGGTCTCTAACAACACAGCTGAATAAGATAGGGACATCACTTGTACGCTTCTGAAAAATTCATAAAAAGATGGAACAAAACCATCCCCTCTGAAACACAAAGGCAGTCAATGTCCGGAGCACTATGAGAAGAAGCAAGCTCATGCTCTATGCTCTTCACTCGAGGCTCCGTTTTGGTTAGATAGCATATACAGATGGTTACTTTAATCCGTGAAGAATAACTAAATTATTGGTCTAAAACTAGAAGTGTAACCACAAAACAAGTTATAACACTAAATGATCCAAAACAAAACAATATACACCATCCAACATGACCTATGAAAATTACACAAAAAGATAAACAATAAACAATCCCGAGAAAAAGTGTGCATCTAGCATCCAAGCCCACAACTGAAAATTGTGACACGCCTCTCACAAGTACTCATATGATATAAACGGGTCAATCAACTTCTTCGTAATCTATTTGACCTTGTATGACCCCCTACTGAATTCATCAAGCAAATTTAATTCATTATTGTCTGGTTATTCTGGTAGTGACCCAAATTATTTCAAATGTAGGAAAGGAGACAAATACAAAAGTAAAGTTCACAATAAAGCTAACACCACAAAGTTAACAATAATTAAATATGAAGTGGCATACATGTTTTAACTTTTCAACCAGATGCTGTAATTGACCATTGGAAAACATGCAAAACATAAACATACTTAAATTTAAAATTTCAAGATGTTCACACCAGAACAAAAATCAGATCAGTAAATTTTGGAAGATTAAGGGTGAAAACGCAAATAGCTCTAAAACCAAAGTCAGATCAGTTAACTAATCTATGAGTTAACTAATCTATGAGTCATACCAAACAATAATCAACCAGATTATACCAAAGCCAATAACATGAGAACCCATTTAGCTTCACCAAATTACAAAGTGCGTCAAAACCCAGCAACTTCAGCCAAATAGGTCACATTTTACCATTTGGGGGTAATCAGAATCTAATTCTGAGTTCAAGACATACATCCTGACAATAAAAATTAAAATTCCAACAAAGATTGTTTGCAAAACGAGCAAGGGAAAAAAAAAAAAAAAAAAAAAAAAAAAAGGCAAAACATTGGTTCATAAAAGAAGGTGCTTTCAAAGACACCAAAAAAAAAAAACCGAATCTATGCTGTTTCCAACTTTTCATTTCTGTTTCAGATTTCAGAAAAACAAATTCTGAAAACCGAGGATCAATTCAGTCCTGATCTTCATTTTTCTATATATGTCACACGCAAAAACATACAACCCAAAAGCAAAAACACAAAACCCACAACACAAACCCTCACAACAAAACCCAAAAACCAAAGGGAGAAGACTGATCAGCTGTTAAACAAATAAACAACCGGATTTAATCTCAAAAACCACAGATCCAATATGACATGCATATACTGACCCAAAAAAAAACCATGACATGCGCACATATTAAACATGGAAAGAAAAAGACTGAGAGAGAGACAGCTTACGGAGTGAGATGGGTTGGAGAGGGAGGATGAGAGAGTTGATGAAGACTGAGGTGGGGATGTTTTTATTTCGGCTGAGATCGGAGAAAGCGAGGCTGAGGGGTCACAGTAACTAAGCCCTATATATATATATATATATATAGGACAGAGAGAGTGTATTGTTGGACTGTGTTTCATTAAGAAATGATAAAAGGATGGCCCTTGGCATGTTCTGAAAACCATTATAAGCCAAGGGCACTTGAAAGATTCCCGTTGCCCCCAACCAAAAGGCCCAAAAGGATGGCCCTTGGCATGTTCTTTTTCCTTTTTGGGTTTCATGCTACATTCAACGCATGCTAATTTTTATTTTATTTTATATACAAGTGATTTTATTTTATATTCCGATGTCATTTCCTTACGTTCACTCGCACTTATGGCATGTTTATTTATAGGGATTATGTTGGGATGATTATTGGAATTATTCATATTTTTAACTATTTATGTCATGTTTACTTACTAGGAATGTATATGAAAAGAAAAAGAATTATTTCAGTTCATGAATTTCTCACATGTTTACAAATACATAATGAATCCAAAAATTAAAAAAGTTAATCCCACCTTAATTCCGTAATCCAATACCCTCAAAATAAGGAACTAAATCAACTACATTAAAACAAGGAACTAAATCAACTATATTTTTTTTTTCTCTTATATTGCTTTCCAAAACTTGGTTTAGCTTCCAATTCATGAGAGTTAATAAGTGCAAATAATGGGAATCAACTATCCCTATTATGATTCCATGCGGTAAGTAAACAATTCCTTATTTTCCCTATTCCTAATTCCTTACTTTCCCTATTCCTAAGTTCGTCAATTCCCCACTTTCGCGATTCTCGTTAAGTGCACATGACATTCTAACACATGCGTATTAGAATTATTCCGATTTCTAATTTCTCATGCACTCCACGTCACGATAAGTGGAGCATTAAACAATTTAAGCTTGCGCATGTGGGGGTTCAAACCTCTCCCAACTCGAGTGTTTGCAGCCACTTAACCACGACACTGCTGATGACTTTGTGTTTATAAACTACGGAATATAGTATATATAATATCCCAACTTGAACTTTCAAAAATTAAACAATTTAAACTCAAAACAATTCAAGCTCAGCGCATGAGGTCGAGTGTTTGCAGCCACTTAACCACCACGCTGTTGATGACTTTGTGTTTATAAACTACGCAATCTAATATATATAATATCCCGACTTGAACTTTCAAAAATTAAACAATTTAAACTCACTCACGCTCTCGCACACAATGTATAAATTGTAAAATATTGTAGTAAATCATTATATATAAATGATTGTGGTGTGTTTAATCCTTTTTCATTAATTACTACATATTTTCTACACTCACGGTATTTGTCAGCTCGTTATATAATCAACTTAAATTAGTTAAATCCATCATGCAATGCATTTCTTTCCCATTTTTTATGATAAACTAATAGATAATTGACTAAATAAGCATCCTCCAAAGTTTCAATAAAAATTTCCAAGTTTTTCTTACAATTTTCGTGGTTTTTATTCAATTTTTATCGATATCGATAATATCTCGATATTTCCATAGAAATTTCCCTGTTTTTGGACTACCGATATTTTAGACCTTGGACAAGACTCAAGAGAGACCAGCATGAAGCTTATCCCCACTCAGATTGAGACCTTACAAAGATTAACTAGGAGGGCACGGCAGCCCATCAGACACAATTGATTGAGAGTAGTAGCTGATCAAATTCCAATTCATTCTCTTCCATATTCATAACTTTTCTGATTCATCATTGCCTCATTTCTAAATAAGTAAACATGCCATTAGTTACATTGTAGAAGTTTTGACTAAAGTGATGTTAAAAGAAATGGATGAAGTTGTCAGACCTCATGTTTGAGGGTTTAGCTCATTTTTAACCTAAACCCTGAATTTTGAAAGTTAAGCATATGCTACTTTGAGGACCAACCAATTAACAAACTTAACAATATTACCAACTAGATCTTGGTCTAATACTACTTATCTTTGCATTGTGACCCATCATCACATCCTCACCTTTCCCTCACCCTTCCCTCACCCATTCCCCTTATTGTCACGCTAGTTTCACCAAGTTCCTCAAGACATCCATCACGTGCAACTCATTCCCTAGGTTCAACCTCTTCCTACTTATTCTATGGTAACACAGGCTAAAACTAGTTCTTAAGCCCAATCTTCGGTATGCTAATCATGCCTCCCTTTTGGATTCTACTAACTTTAGGCCCAGTATAAATGTGAAAGAAAAACTTTAGGCCCAATTTGCCTTAAATGTTATAGATATTGAAGCCCAACAAAAAAAGAAGAAGAAGTAAACTGAAAAAATTGGAAAACCAAATTGTTCCTTGGCAATTCGGTTTGGTTCGATTTTTCTCCAATTTGGACTAAAAACCGAATTGGATGAATAGTACTGATTTCGATTTTAGGTAAAAACAAGACTGAACCGAATTCTGTCCACCCCTACATATAGGCGTTAAAGCTTATCATTTGTTATTATCCTCTATTTATCACTTGTTTAATTCTTTGCAACACTTGCTTAATTCTTTGTAAATCACCTCTCATTATCTGATAATGTTATATCTCTAACCGTTTTCTCTACACTTGTGATCTGATGTAACTCACATTAATTATGAATAATAACACAACCACTACATATTCTTGTGGCCTGTTGCGTATACCCAAGTGCAAGTAGTCACACATAGTAATAATCTTTGAAGTCCAAGTATCGTATTCTCAAGGAGCAGGTAGGCAAATATCTGCACATAGAAATAATTAAACGCACCACAATAAAAGTGACAAGC